TTGTTCTCTCTCTCTCTCTCTCTGTCAAATAAATAAATGGAATCTTTAAAAAATTTTTTTTTAAAAAAAGAAGTCCTGTTTGTTCCTTTTCAGTTTTGCTGTCCCTTAAAATTTCCTCTTCCTTGCGATCTCTTTGGGCTTGTCTTTTTTTTTTTTTTTTTAAAGATTTTATTTATTTATTTGAGAGAGAGAGAATGAGAGCACATGAGAGGGGGGAGGGTCAGAGGGAGAAGCAGACTCCCTGCCGAGCAGAGAGCCCGATGCGGGACTCGATCCAGGGACTCCAGGATCATGACCTGAGCCGAAGGCAGTCGCTTAACCAACTGAGCCACCCAGGCACCCTGGGCTTGTCTTTTATTTCTTTAAACAGAGTAAGCATAATTTTATAGCGTGAGTCCATTAATTCTAGCATCTGAATTCTTTGGGGATATCCATCTGTGTCCAATTAGGAAAATAGAAACCATTTAGATGTTTAAATTAGAGAAAGATGTAATAAAGTATTTGCAAAGGTGCTGGAAGGGTTGGGGGGGGGGGGGCGGGCACTTGTTACCTGGTTGCTCTCAGGCTAGCTGCTGGAGGCATGGCTGCTGGAGCCCGGAAATTTCCTGTAGCTGCAATCTGTGCGGTTTCCTGCCTCTCTGTCTTTTCCCACTCCCTTTTAATTCCCCACCAGTGCTTCCCTTTTACAACTTAGCAAGACTCCAGCTGGCAACACGTCTTGTGTGTGTAGTTTCAGACCTCGAACCCTCTGCAACAGAGGCGGAAAAGAGCTGAATACCAACAGACCGATCTGGAACTGGGTGTATGCCATCTGTTGTTTTTGCTGTTGGTTCTTGCTCCCAGAGTCTTGTTTGTCTTTGTGTGCCTGGTTATTTTTGGGTACTGGCATTTCAAAATTACTTGTAATGATTTGAAGCCTTGAGAAACTTCATTTGCTTGTCAGATCCCTGGGAGCTCTACCTGTCGGGGATATGGGATTACAAAAACAACTGAATACTAGAACTTTCTTCAGGTTTGGCCTAGTAGAAATGATGATCTTAAATAGACCCTTCTTTATGCTAAATGCTGGGGTGAGTCAGTGAAGTGAAACAAATTTGGGGAGATGGTTGTGTACTTCTGGGTGATACAGACTTAAGTCCGGTGTACTGTGGGAATGTGATGAGCTTTGTGGGTAGATAGAGCAGGACAAGGGAAGTTGGGAACATGGATGAGAGGACTGCAGTTATCCGGCTGTCACTGCGAAGGTGACATTTAAATGAAGTGAACTAGACGGACTTTGGCAGAAGAGTGGAGCCAAACCCAGTGCCAGTGCAGATGCCTTGAAAAAGGCAGGGTGGGAGGCTGGTGTGGGGGGCAGGGGGAGTGAGGGCAAGTAGAAGAGGGGAAAGGAGCAGAGTGAGTGAGGCCTTGAAGGGACCCTAGTTGAAAGTGAGCTGAGGGAGCAATTTCAAAGGAGTGAAATGATCTGGCTTCTGTTCAGGAGGATCGCTGACTGCTGTGTTGATTGGAATGCATTTTCTTTCTTTCTTTTTTTTTTTTTTTAAGATTTTATTTATTTATTTGAGAGAGAATGAGATAGAGCATGAGAGGGGGGAGGGTCAGAGGGAGAAGCAGTCTCCCTGCTGAGCAGGGAGCCTGATGCAGGACTCGATCCCGGGACTCCAGGATCATGATCTGAGCCGAAGGCAGTCGCTTAACCAACTGAGCCACCCAGGTGCCCCTGGAATGCATTTTCTAATGAAGTAAAAAATTAATTGGGATTTCAATAGCAAATGATTTTTTTTTTTAAGATTTTATTTTCAAGTAATCTCTACACCCAACTTGGAGCTCAAACTTAGAACCCAGAGATCAAGAGTTGCATGCTCTACTGACTGAGCCAGCCAGGCGCCTCTTTTTCTTATCCTTTAAATGCTTACATATATAGGACATAAGAATATATATATTTTCGTCTACCGTGGAACCATTTTGACTGATAGTTGTTTTTTCATGAAGAGAGTTGTTCTAAGTCTTAAAAGTACCACTTTTTTTATACCAGTGTATCTTTTTATTATAAACTTTAAAATGTTTTAATTTTCAACCAGTGGTTTTAGTATTATTTTAGGCCATGCCTTAGAATCTCATTTTATAGCACTTTTCTTCCCCCAAACTCCAGTATAATGCCCAGAATATCCCCTGGAATTCAAATTTGGTGGTCACCTGAAAAGTTTCTATAGTTGCCACAAGGTTTTATGTCTGTGCCACTTAGGTGTCCCCTGGGCTGCAGTGCTGAGAAGAGCTCTAGAGGAGGGCTAGGGACCGCCACTGACTGTGTGTTTCTCAGTTATACTTGTATGCTGAGAAGCGTTTTGATGATTTCCAGGTATAAAGAGCAGAACTAGTGGGTAATTAGTTTCTGAATGATCAGTCTGATGCTTTAATAGAGTATATGCAGGGAGTATATGCAGGGAGGAGGGAATGCAATGCAGGCTTTCTCTCCCATCTCATTTATTTCAACATTTTGTTTTAAATTGAATTTAATTGAAATGGGCTAGCCAAATTCTTAGTTAATGCTTGTAGAAATAAAAAAGGAAAGTAAGCAATTCAGACAAACCCTTGCTATTGGTGTTGATATAGTAGTTATTCTTTGGATATATTTTTAATTTTTTTTTTTTAAGATTTGTTTTTTAATAAAGTTTTTTTTTTTTTTTTAATTTATTTGACAGACAAAGCGAGAGGAGGAACACAAGTAGGGGGAGTGGGGAGAAGAGGGAGAAGCAGGCTTCCTGTGGAGCAGGGAGCCTGATGTGGGGCTCGATCCCAGGACCTTGGGATCACGACCTGAGCCGAAGGCAGATGCTTAAGGACTGAGCTACCCAAGCGCCCCTGGATATATATTTTTAAAAGATGTATTTATTTTAGAGAGAGCGAGCGAGTGAGCAAGCACGGGGGGTGGGGGGGGAGGAGCAGAGGGAGAGAGAGGATCTGGAGCAGACTCCCTGCTGAGTAGGGCTCTATCTCACAACCTGAGATCATCACCTGAGCCGAAATCAAGAGTCCATAGCTTAACCAACTGAGCCACCCAGGCACCCCTTATTTGGATATTTTGTTATTATTTTACTTTTTCCTGAGGAATGAACATAGAAACATTATCAAGATACAAATGTACAAGTCAGTGATTTATCTCAAAAACAAATGCCTGGGGGCACCTGGGTGGCTCAGTCGTTAAGCGTCTGCCTTCAGCTCAGGTCATGATCCCAGGGTCCTGGGATCGAGTCCCACATCGGGCTCCCTGCTCGGCAGGAAGCCTGCTTCTCCCTCTCCCACTCCCCCTGCTTGTGTTCCTGCTCTCGCTATCTCTCTCTCTGTCAAATAAATAAATAAAAATCTAAAAAAACAAATGCCTGTAACTCATACATTAATGGTGGGAATGTAAAATGGTGCAGCTGCTTTGGAAAGCCATTTGGCAATTCCTCAAAAAGTTAAACAGAGTAACCATATAACCTAGCAGTTCTACTCTTAGGTTTATATCCAAGGGAATTAAACATATGTCTACATGAAAAACAAGCAACTGTTCATAGCAGTATTATTCATAATAGCTAAAAAATGGAAACAACCCAGATGTCCCAGAGTGGATAAACAACAGTGTGGTCTGTCCATACATAAGGGAATATCATTCATCCCCAAAAAGGAGTGATGAAGTGCTGATACATGCTCAGCAGGGGTGGACCTTGAAAACATATTAAGTAAAAGAAGGCCATGTGATTCTTTTGCATTAAATGTTCAGAATAGGTAAATGCATGGAGACAAAGTAGATCACTGCCAAGACTAGGGGTAGGGTCAGGGGATAGGGCTGGGGAATGACTGCTAACTGGTGTGAGATTTCCTTTTGAGGTGATGAAAATGTTCTGGGATTAGAGAGTTGTGATAACTGCACAACTCTGTTAATAATACCAAAACCCATTGAATTACACACTTTAAAAGGGTGAATTTTTATGGAATGTAAATTATATTCTCAGCTGTTCTTGTAACAAAACAAAATAACACATCTGTGTGTGTTTGGGTTAACCGAGAATATAGACCGTACCCCAGAAGGCCTCCCCCCACCCTCCTCCCTTCCAGTCAATGCCCCAAGTTATTCTTGGGGGGAAAAAACAGCAGCTGTTTCTACTGCTACTGTTCGCTTCTCAGAAGAAGCCGTTGTTTTAGACTAAGCATGAAGCTTTATGCTCTCAGCGTTTGCCAGGCCTTGCAGGGCACATTTTGTAGCGTACCATTTTAATCAAATGCTGCTCTGTGATTTTATGGTACCTGTGGACCGACCTTTCAGAACAGGTAGCTATGCACTCTTGACTTGCTCTTTTTTTTAAGATTTAAAAAAAAAATTTCAGAGAGTGAGAGAGAGAGCAAGCAAGCATGGCAGGGGGGAGGGTCAGAGGAAGAAGCAGATTTCCCGCTTCTTCCACAGGGAACCCAGTGGGGAACTCCATCCCAGGACCCTGGGATCATGACCTGAGCCAAAGGCAGACGCCTAACCGACTGAGCCACCCAGGTGCCCAACTTGCTCTTTTTAAAATAGAAATAATATGGAGTTTAAAGAAGTAACATGTATATTAGATCTCTTGCTTAATCAGTAGCATGGACTTTATTAACTATGAAATACTTTTTACTTTATCTGCCTCATCATAGCTGCTCCCCCCCTTCTCCCCATACCCACAACTAGAGATACGGGTTATTAATACTATCTTTTGGGGAGCCAAATTAACATTAATAGTTTTTATTCTACATGACATTTTTGAGCTTAAATTTTATTTTTATTTATTTTTTAATAAAAATTTCATATTTAAGTAATTGTTACACCCAGCATGGGGCTCAAACTCACAACCCTGAGATCAAGAGTTGCACACTCCACCAACTGAGCTAGCCAGGCACCCGAGCTTAAATTTTAAAACTGCCTTTACATGTTTTTATATGCTTTTAAATATTTTAAACTCAAGGTCAGTGTTGATTCTTTTGCCTTTCAGCGATGTCTTGGCATTGCCCATTTTTAAGCAGGAAGATTCCAGCCTTCCATTGGACGGTGAGACTAAACACCCACCCTTTCAATATGTGATGTGCGCTGCCACCTCGCCAGCAGTGAAACTGCACGATGAGACTCTCACTTACTTGAACCAAGGTGAGTATGGCTATGTCATGCTTTGATGTAAGAATTGACACATAGCTAAAGCGTTTTGGCATTACAGCCTACTTTATGGGTAATAATTTAAAATTAGATTATTTTTCTTAAATTTGACAACTTTAGTTAACAAAAATCGTAGGCATTTACTGTTAGCCAACAAAGTAATAGTTTGTGAAAATTGTGAAAACTGATTTGCATAAAGAGGGCCCCTGCAATAAGATTTATTACAGGGTTTTTCAGACAAAATCCAAAGGAGGAGCAAGTAGGAAAGGATGTCAGTTATTTTTAGGAACACTGGTTTCAATATGGAACTTGAGACTGAATCAAGGAACCTGGGTCTCAGGCCTGAAGCAGGTTTGTGCTGAAAATAGACAAGCTGCACCAAGATGGAGTCTGTGGCTAAAATAGATCGTGTCAGATTTTGTCTACTCGTATCTTGTCCGCATTTTATGAGAATATGCTGTTTTGGTGATATGAAAGTGAGAGCAGGCAGAGTGGAAGATAGAGATGTGGGGGTAGAATTTACTGTTGGAAATTATAAGGGATTTTTTTGAGCTTCTCTTAGCAGTTTGGGCATAGGCCAGTGTGACTAACCAAATTAAACAGAAGTACTTTGTTACACAGCTATGAATTTGTTGGATACATATACCGAAAGCATGTTGCACTCTTATTTTTAAACAAAATCGGAACTTTATTCTTACAAAAATAGTACATCCTCTCACTGTAGAAAGATTGAGAAATAAGAGGTAAAGCTGGAAATTGACTGTGGTTGCATTTCACCAAGATAACTAGTTTATGTTTTAGGTATATTTTCTTGTGTGTCTGTCTACTTTATTTTAACAAAATTAGAATTAATATTTGTTCATTTAAGAGCATATTGTAATTATTTTTCTGTCATTAAATAAAATCTTTATTTCTTTGAACGTTTGTAACAGCTATGGATTTTAGACTATTACGATTAGTATTCTGAAATGCGGAAGAATAACTTACTGTAGCTTTTCATTTGATATAAATGTAGGATCTGTGAGGTTTTACCCCAGTTTATTCTACCATAGCACCTGTACAATACCCTAACTCTGTCGTTAACATTGTTTGGGTAGGCATTCTTTTTTCTTTCTTTCTTTTTTTTTTTTTAAAGATTTTATTTATTTTTTTGACAGAGAGAGACGCAGCAAGAGAGGGAACACAAGCAGGGGGAGTGGGAGAGGGAGAAGCAGGCTTCTTGCCGAGCAGAGAGCCCGATGCGGGGCTTGATCCCACGACCCTGGGATCATGACCTGAGCCGAAGGCAGATGCTTAACGACTGAGCCACCCAGGCGCCCCTTGGGTAGGCATTCTGTCGTTTGAGACTTAAGTGTCCTTTTTTTGAGAGAAAGAGAGCAAGCTAGAGAGAACATGAGTGGAGGGGGGAGGGGCAGAGGGAGAGGGAGAAGCAGTCTCCCTGTTGAGCAGGGAGCCCAGTGAAGGACTCCATCCCAGGACCCTGGGATCCTGACCTGAGCCGATGGCAGACGCTTAACCAACTGAGCCACCCAGGCATCCCTTAAGTGTCCTATTTGAAAGTACTTTAAAGGGGCGCCTGGGTGGATCAGTCAGTTAAGCGTCTGCCTTTGGCTCAGGTCATGATCTCAGGGTCCCAGGATTGATCCCCAAGTCAGGCTCCCTGCTCAGCAGAGAGTCTACTTCTCCCTCTGCTCCTTATCCCGCTTATGCTCTCTCTCAAATAAATAAAGAAGATCTTAAAAAAAAAAAAAAGAAAGTACCTTGAGTTCATATGGCAAGATTTGTTTTAGATGTAAAAATATCAGAAGTAACCATGTAGGGGCTTGGATACTCACTGTAGCTTTATTTCTAACGACAAGGAAATGACCTGTATTTCTCTTACTTGGGGAATAGTTGAGTAAGTTCTGTTATTTGCATACCATGGGATGAATGAGTGTACACACACACCCCTGTTTAAGGGAATGCATTGGATGTGTCTATCTGTTGGCATGGGGAAATAGCCGTAATTTATCACTGTTATTATTAAACTGGAAAAAGATATCTCATGTTGATAAAAGTTGCAATCCACCATCTGTAGTAATGATATATTAGATTGACATTCACTGAGTGCTTACTATGTATGAAGCCTTGTACTAAGTACTATACGTGTGTTATATAGTTCCCACAATAACTCTAGGAGAAGTTTTATTAATCCATTTTAGGGGTACCTGGCTGGCTCAATTGGTAGAATATGCGACTTTTTTTTTCTTTTATCTTTTTCAGAGATAGAGCATGAAGTGGGAGAAGAGGGAGAAAAAGAATCCTAAGCAGGCTCCATGTCCAGCACAGAGCCCTATGTGGGGCGCAATCTCATGAGCCTGAGATTATGACCTGAGCCAAAATCAAGAGTTAGACTCTTAACGACTGAGCTACCCAGGCGCCCCTGAGGTCAAACATGTGACTCTTCATCTCAGGGTCATGAGTGCAAGCTTATTTAAAAAAGATCCATTTTCAGATTTATAAAACAAGCTGAGAGCAGTTGATTAACTTGCTCAGTGTGAATTTGGCCAAGCTTAGATTTGAGAAAAAGGAAATCTTAAGTGTATAACTCAGTGAATTTTTATATATATTATTCCCTTGAAACTACTATGTCCAGTATTTCCAGCACCCCAGCAGGCTCCCTTGTATTCCCCTCCCAGATTTTACTCCAGCTTGACTATAACTAGTATAAGTGCAGGTGATTTATTGCACTTGACTCTGCTCACTGCAGTATTTTTTTTTTAAGATTTTATTTATTTATTTCACAGAGAGCGCGAGCATGGTAGGGGGGCAAAGGGAAAGGGACAAGTAGACTCCCCACCAAGCTGGGAGCCCGAGGTAGGGCTTGATCCCAGGACCCCAGGAACATGACCTGAGCCGAAGGGAGACACCCAATGAACTGAGCCACCCAGGGGCTCTTGCTCACTGCAGTATTTTTTTTTTTTTTAAAGATTTTATTTATTTATTTATTTGAGAGAGAGAGAGAGAGAAACAGCATGAGAGGGGATGGGGTCAGAGGGAGAAGTAGGCCCCCCCCCCCCGAACCGGGAGCCTGCTGCGGGACTCGGTCCCAGGACTCTGGGATCATGACCTGAGCCGAAGGCAGTCGCTTAACCAACTGACCACCCAGGCGCCCTCACTGCAGTATTAATGATGAATCTTTTCGTGGCTGTAGAATATATCTTTTAATTTCTTCATCTTTTAAGAAAAAAGTGGAAAAGTGAACTGCATATGTAGAAATATTTTTTAAAAACATATGAATGGGGTGTCTGGTTAAGCATCTGACTTCGGCTCAAGTCATGATCCCAGGGTCCTGGGATTGAGTCTCATATCGGGCTCCCTACTCAGCAGGAAGTCTGCTTCTCCCTCTCCTTCTGCCCCTCCTCCCTGCTTGTGTTCTCTCTCGCACGTGTGTGCGTGCGCTGTCTCTCAAATAAATAAATCTTTAAAAAAAAAACACGAATAATGGAGTGTGTGGGTGGCTCAGTTGGTTAAGTGTTCTCATTCTGGCTCTGGTCATAGTCTCAGGGTTGTGAGATCAGGCCATGTGTTGGGCTCCCCACTCAGGGAGGAGTCTGCTTCTCTCCCTGTCCCTCTCCCCCTTCCCTTGCTTGAGCACATGCATGAGCGCGCTCTCTTTCTCTCTCTCTAAAATAAATATATCTTTAAAAAATACCATTTGAATAACCATTAAGAAACACATTAGAGTAATCATAAAGGGATTATTTTACATCTTTTTTTTTTAAAGATTTTATTTATTTATTTATTTATTTATTTGAGAGAGAGAATGAGATAGAGAGAGCATGAGAGGGGGCAGGGTCAGAGGGAGAAGCAGACTCCCTGCTGAGCAGGGAGACCGATGCGGGACTCGATCCCGGGACTCCAGGATCATGACCTGAGCAGAAGGCAGTTGCTTAACCAACTGAGCCACCCAGGCGCCCCTATTTTACATATCTTTTAAAAGAATTGTAAAACCTTTAATATATAAGTATCAAATATACATATTACAATGTGTATAGTTCTTTTACAGACTTGTCTCCTAGCATTTATCACTTTGACAAAAGGTTCTGGGCCCATGGTTTTTCATGAATCCCCTAAGATTGTTTTCAATTTTTTATAAATGTGTATGTTTCTAAGGAGAGGATCCATAGCTCTTCCCAGAGCCAGGCAAGGTTTGGCTTGGGGAGAGGTGTGGCTGTGTCTTTCACCCCATCTCTTAAGCTGCGGAAGCAAATAGAGGTCTAGGCTCAGCAAAGTACCTTTAGATGATGGGGCTCTCTTTTCAAAGGAAATGTTCTCAGTAGTGCATGTGCAGTGTTGATACTTTTTTATAGAAACTTTTCCTGCAATATATAGTATAAAGAGAATCAGGGTTAGGTATGGAAAATAATAATGAGACTCGATTAATTTTATCTGGAATCCAGTAAAACCCCGTGAATATTTTTTCAGCGGGAGTGACATTGTCATGGAAGTTCTTGTGAAGTCTGCCTTGGTGACACCATTTTAGTATTGATGGTTTGACTAAGTATTGACATAATTTACTGCTTATGTTTTTAGGAATCAGATTGGCACTCACTTTTAAGGCTCATGAATCCATTTTCTTGCTTTCAGATGAATTCTTCAGTTCCACCAAGGAAAATGACTTAACATGGCAATGTTGCATTATCAAAAAAGGACGTAAAAATTCTGTAAGAAGGAATTAGACAGGGTACTTGAAGGTGTGATTGTTAGCACAAGTTTATTCTTTTTTAACTCACATGTGAATTTATCTGCATTCATTCTAGTACACGAGAGGAAAATTGGAAATAATGGTGATGATTAATGAAAGCACAGTTCTCTCCATGTTATGATTTTATGAAAACTTCGGAGGGAGTAATTACTCCTACAGTTATCTATTTGGATTATGGACCATGCCATACTTTTTACAGATAAAGATTTAAGAGTTTTCTGATTCCAAATCTAGTTTTCTTAACTACCAAGTCTCTTTACTGGAATAGTTCCAGTGTTTTCTAAGTTTTTAGTTAATTGGCAACATTTTAAATTTAACAGTTTAAGTAGATGATTTATATACATACTACAAAATTCGCAAGGTATGAAAGGGTATACAATAAAAAGTCTTCTTTCCCTATCTCCCAGTTATTGAGTTCTGCTTGCCTCAGGCAGCCACTGAATTAGAACCATTTTAAAATACCTAAGAAGATTCTAATTGTGTTTTAGGACAGTCTTTGTATGACAAAAATTTATACCATTAATATTTTATTGAATTTATTCCAGTAAACTTACTTGTTCATGTGATGGGTGAGTTGTGTGCTTAAGCGTGGTTGTGGTGAATCTGAGGTCTTGTCACTAAAGGATGAAATGTAAAAAAGAACTTAAACCTAGCATCTCTGTAGTAAGGCCTGGTAGATGCTGTCATACATGGTTGCCCATGAAACAGCACTGCTAGGATATAAACACTTCCATTGCATGTTAGATGTCCTTAAGCACATTCTTCACATACCTTTTGGTTTCTTTTAAATGTTTCACCTAGTTACAGTGAGCAGTGATTTAAAAGTATCTTGGGTCTTTTTCTGCATGTGGTGAGATGGGAGGTGGAGAAGGGCCATGGTGAGTCTGCAGTCTCTGGAACAGGGCTGCCTGTGTGTGGATTCCATTCCATCACTTGCTAGCCTAGGCAAGTTCCTTAATTTAATACTCTCCACATAAGGTAGTTGACAGAGGGAGAGGGAGAAGCAGACTGACTCCTCGATGAGCAGGGCGTCCAAGATGGGGCTCGATCCGAGGACCCTGAGATCACGACCTGAGCCGAAGTCAGATGCTCAACTAACTGAGCCACCCAGGTGCCCCTAAAGATTTTATTTTTAAGCAATCTTTATACCCAGCATGGGGCTTGAACTCAAAACTGCAAGATCAAGAGTCGCATGGTCCACTGATTGAGCCAGCCAGGTGCCCCTAGAGAAACCATTTGAAGAATAACAAGTATTATGGAGCCTTTAAAAAAAAGATTGATTTTAGAAGAATAAAAGTCTGCAGTGCTTTAATATAGGAGCAACAGATCCTGAGATGTATTTGTGGAAACAGACTGAACTTTATATTGAGCACAGAAGTATCCTTGTTAGGTTGACTAGGAAAAATGATACAAAGGAAGACAGGAACATGGAGGTTTTGTCCTTTATTTGATTTTTTTAATCCTGAGAATTTTGAGATTTTGAGGATCATAAGATAATCTTGGTGGGACAAGTTTTCTCTCTGTTCTGGGCAGGTTGCTATGCACCTCTTTCACTTTCCATCTCACTGGCTGCTTTTCTTTGGGTTACTATCTATCCCAGGGAAGTGTCTTGACCCTCTGCTCTTTTTCTACACTCACTCCTCAGATGATCTTGTATTTAAGTGGTTTTACCTAACAGCTGTAACCCTGAAAAGTCCTCTGTTAATATCTCCAGTCAGGATTTCTTCCTCTTAGGTCCAGATTTGTAAATCAACCTGATTATCAATTTGGATGGCCAGTAGTTATCTCAGACTTAATGTGTTCAATTGCACTTTTGATTTTCTCCCCCAAATCTACTCCTGGTAGTCTTCCTCATGTTCAGGACCTTCCAAAAATTTGGAATCATCCTCAACTCTTTTTTTTTTTTTTTCTCTTACACTGTACATCTAATACACCAGCAAATGCGTAGGCTCTCCCTTCAAAATAATCTCTGGAGTGGCAGTTTCTTACCATCTCCACTCCTGCTGTCAGTATTTGAGCGACTGTTTCAGACTGAGGGATTTATGCTAACCTGATAAGTGAAAATTGATTTCAGTGTGATTTTAATTTGCATATCTCTGGTGGAGATTGGATGTCTTTTAATATATTTAAGAACTGTTGGCATTTCCTTTTTTTGTGAACCACTTGTTCATGTCATTTGCTCATTTTTTTCTTATAGGGATGTTGGGCATTTGTGATTTTGTAAAGTTGTTTGTATTAGGGAGCATAACCCTTTGTGTCTAATGTGAGTTGCAGATATTGCTTCTCTTGCATTTTTCCTGTTTGTAATGATTAGTCAGAATCCCTGAGTCAAAGAATACAGTGTTTAACTTAACAGGGGTAGCCAGGTTGGTTTTCAGAAAGACTTTTATCAGTTCATATTCCTCCCACATTTTATGTGCTTATTTCTCCCCTCTCCTCATCCATGTGGTTTTTAATTAAACATTTTTTGTTGATCTGATAGTTAGCCACAGACATTTTAATTTTTATTGCCTAAATTTTTGTGAGGTTGAGTGTAATTTTAAGTGTATGATGGTATAGTTTTAAAAAATGCCTATTTTATGTGCTTTATTTTGAAATTTCTTATTTTCTGAGCTTAGATCCTTTGTTAAGTATGTTGCAAATTTAACTTTTTAAAAATGTCTTTTGCCATAGTATTAGTGGTATCTCTCTCAATTCATTGAATGACTTAAGGACTCTTCCTTAGTAACATACTCTATATAATGGTTTTCTTTCACCAGCTTTGGAGTGATTTGGTTGTGTTATGTGACCGTATGATCTAGTACCCTTAGTATATTTCTATACAGGGTAAGCCCCATTGGAGTGTGGACTAGACCATAAAGATCCCCAACTTCATATAGTACTAGAAGAACTCCTTAATTACTGTTGATTTTCTCCATATCAAAGTATACTGTCTTTATTACTTAATGACAGATAATCCAGAAATCATTTTTGTGGCTTTGGAGTACATTCTTAACTTTTGGCAGCAGCTTATTTTCCTAATTATAAAGTTGGTGTGTGAATATCTGTTTGTGTTTTCTTATGGACACTAACTGAGCAGTGAGAGAATGTGAGTTGGGTTCATTGGTCACAAGGAAGAAGGCTCTAGCATTAAAATTTGGTCTGGGCTCACACAAAATGCAGTACACAAATGTTCATAGTATCATTACTCATAATAGCCATGAAGGAGAAACAACCCAGATGTCCATCAGTTGATGAATGGATGAACAAAATGTGGTATGTTTGTGCAGTGAAATAATTGCAATAGAAAGGAGTGCAGTCCAGGCACACCTCGGACATACTGCAGGTTCTGTTCCAGACCTTCACAATAAAGTAAATGTAGCCCAAAAGTGAGTCAAATGGGTTTTCTGGGTTCTCAGTGCATATAAAAGTTATCTTGACACCATCCTGAGTGTGTTAAGTGTGGGGTAGCATTAATGTCTAAGAAAACATATATATACCTTTTTTTTTTAAGATTTTATTTATTTGACAGAAAGAGCACAATCGGGGAGTGGGAGAGGGAGGAGCATGCTCCCCACTGAGCAGGGAGCCCAACATGGGGCTCAATCCCAGGACCCTGGGATCACGACCTGAGCCGAAGGTAGATGCTTGACCAACTGAGCCACCCAGATGCCCCAACATTTTTAATTAAAAAATATTTTATTGCTTAAAAAGTGAGCTATAATGACTGATCACAGTTCACCATAACAAATATAATAATGAAAACGTTCAAAATGTTGTGAGAATCACAAAATGTGATGCAGAGACACAAAGTGAGCAGATGCTGTTGGAAGAAGGGTGCCCTGATAGACTTGTTTGATTCAGGGTTGTCACAAACCTTCAATTATAAAAAACCATAATTTCTGCAAAGTGTGATAAAGCAGAGCACAACAAAAGGGAGATCTGCCCTGCTACAACATGTGAGAAACTTGAAAATATGCTTAGTAAAAGAAGTCAGTTAATCACATACTGTGTGATTCCATTTGTATCAAGTGTGTTAAGTAGGTAAATCCCTAGAGACAGAAAGTAGATTGATGAGGGGTTTCTAGGGGCTGGGGTGGGCGAGGATGGAAAGTGACTGCTGAGGAGTAGGATTTTCTTTTGTGGGTGATGAAAATGCTCTAAAATTGGTAGTGTGATGGTTACACAATTCTGAATGTACTAAAAACCAGTTAATTGTACATTTTTTTTTTTTTAAAGGGTGGGGGCGTCTGGGTGGTTTAGTTGGTTAAGCAACTGCCTTCAGCTGGGGTCATGATCCCAGGGTCCTGGGATCAAGCCCCACATCAGGCTCCCTGCTCGGTGGGAGGCCTGCTTCTCCCTCTCCCACTCCCCCTGCTTCTGTTCCCTTTCTCGCTGTCTCTCTCTCTCTGTCAAGTAAGTAAATAAAATCTTTTTTTTTTTAAGATTTTTTTCTTAAATTTTATTTATTTGACATAGAGACAGAGAGAGAGGGAACACAAGCAGGGGGAGTAGGAGAGGGAGAAGCAGGCTTCCAGCTGAGCAGGGAGCCCGATGTGGGGCTCGATCCCAGGACGCTGGGATCATGACCTGAGCTGAAGGCAGACGCTTAACAGCCTGAGCCACCCAGGCGCCCCAATAAATAAAATCTTTAAAAAAAAATAAAAGGGTGAATTTTATGGTATGTAAGTTATATCTCAATAAAACTGATAAAAATTTGGTCTTGGATTATGCATATATGCATAATAAAAATTTAGTATGTGGGACTATAGCAAATGAAAATAAATTGGGAGAGAAACTCTTCAGTCTTCTGTAATTGTGCAAGAAGGAGAGGATGGTGTTTGCAGGGAAGAGAAAGATCAACCTGAATTTGCTTCTCCAGTTGAGAGACAGTTGAATTTTTTCTTTTAAAGATTTTATTTACTTACTAGAGAGAGAGAGAGCAAACTCGTATGTGCTCCTGCGCGTACACACACACCCACACACAAGTTGAGAGGGGGAGGAGTACAGGAGGAAGGAAAGAGAATCCCAAGCAGACCCAGCACTGAGCATAGAGCCCGATGCAGGGCTCCATCCCACGACCCCAAGATCATGACCTGAGCCGAGATCAAGAGTCCTTTGCTCAACCTACCGAGCCACCCAGGCGCCCTGAGAGACCATTGAATTTTTATGTTAAACAGAGTCATGTTTTTTTATATGGATTGTTGGTGATACACAGTTTCTTTACATTCAGTAATTTCTTTAAAATAGGTCAGTCTTATGAAATTCGGATGCTGGATAACCGGAAAATGGGAGATATGCCTGAGATCACTGGAAAATTGGTAAAGGTAAGGATGAGCCATCTTATTTGCTAACAGATATTACAATGATTGAAAAAAGTAGCAGTTTTGCTATAAAAGTTTTGGGGTTTTTTGCATAAGAGTTATTTAAAAATCATTTGATTTCACTTTAAGAAGTAATGGCTATATTGAAACTCCTAACTTTTTGAGCTATACTTTATTTACTTATCTGTAAAACAGAAATGATAGCAGTTATTGGGTGAAATAAATGTGAAAGCCCTTGGGAAACTAAGGTACCATAGTTGTGGCTATGGGGAAAAAATTTACCACCACAATGAAGACTTTTAAGTTTTTCTTTAAAAGTTAAAGATAATATGGGGGGAAATGTAAGTGTTAATATGAAACTCTTTAAAACCCTTTTATTTCACCTCTTAAATTTGTCTAAGTAAAATTTGAACTCTCTGTTCACTCTGTTGATGTATCTGAATGAAGGCAGTCATTCCAAGTGTAGCTCATCCCTCTTAGGATATATCTTCAGAACCATCTCTGTCCCCTCCAGTGTCATGCAGGGTGGGTCCTCTAGCCTCTACCTGTCACACACCACGGTGTATTATAAATCCACAGTATTACAGGGCAAGACTTCTGGAAGAAGCTTAATTGGAGGAAGGGAGAACTTCATCTAACTGTTAGCAAGAGAGAAGCAGGCATGAGTTCTCTTGATGCTTCCATCTTCCCACAGAGAGGCATATAGGGGCCTGGGCACTGCTGGGCCCTCAGTATGGAGAGGCATTCCATTGGAAAGACTCCCCTCTGTGGATCTGCCTTTTTAGAGGGCGAGTGTGGGGAAAGACAGCCTTCACAGGGGGAATGGATACTAATATTAAGGCTAACAAATTTGGCTTCTCTGGGAAAGCCAGTTGCCCAGCACACAGAGGCCTTGAGAGTCTTTGGGATGTTTTAATGTTCCTCCCATTCTTGGGGGCAGGAAGTCCCCAGTCCTTTGGGAGGTTGAGAGAAAGTTGGGAGTCTGCGCCCTGCCGATCAGTGTCTTGCCAACTTGGAGTGAACTCCCAGACTTCTGACTCCTGGGGCTCCTTTTTTTTTGTTTTAAGATTTTATTTATTTGACAGAGAGACACAGCGAGAGAGGGAACACAAGCAGGGGGAGTGGGAGAGGGAGAAGCAGGCTTCCCATGGAGCAGGGAGGCCGATGTGGGGCTCGATCCCATGACCCTGGGATCATGACCTGAGCTGAAGGCAGACGCTTAACTAACTGAGCCACCCAGGTGCCCCCCGGGGCTCCTATCTTACCTGGAACAGAGGGAGAGGTTATTTTTGCCATTTGTACTGAGTCTATTGTGTCTATGCCCTATTAGTGGATTTGGTCATTTCCCTGGAGGGTAAGTCAGATGGTCTTATTTTTTTCATTCCCTCCTTTTGGCATTCTGACCATAGCGCATACTGATTGGGCTCACCATTTAAAAAAGCCATCAGCGTTCAGAGTGAGCAAGCTTTACTTGGATTGGCTGTTCTCTGCTGGGCTTTTATGACAAATAGTGACAAATGGAGGAGCCAGACTTAACAGCTCTCATTTTCCAGTGTGTAGGAAGCTTAGGAATGTCCAAGATTCTCTCAGAATGCCCTGGTCCCAAGCTGGCTTATTGTCAGGCCATTGGGCACCCCGGCTCACCTTCAGCAGATCTACCAATTGTCTCACACCCAGTTAAAATCTAACCAGTGATACGTATTTTAAGGGAAGATGTGGGTGAACTCTTTTGTCCCTATGAAAGTTACATATACATTTGGTGGCTGTGAGATGCTGTTTTTTTTTTTTTTTTTTTTTTTAAATCAGTGTAGAAGTGTAGAAAAATTGTTTAAATTGTAGATTTGCCTGTAAAATGGAGTAAGGCATTATTATGTGCCCTGTATCGAGAGCCTTAAAACTGGATCCAAAAATATTAGAATACTCTAAAAAACTACTTATCTGGTAAAATTCAAACATACCCAGAGGTAGAATGGTATGGTGCATCCACATGTGTTTATCATGTGGTGGTTTCTGATGAATTTCACATGTGTGTCATGGGTGCCCAGGATAAGTTCTCCCACCAGTGGCCACAACTGTCAGCAGTTTGCCAGTCTTGTTTTATTTGTTCCCCCCTTGTGCTTGTTTTTTTTTTTTTCCTTTTTCCTTTTCCATTTTTTTTTGGCTGGACTACAGAATTTACTAACTCATAATTTTAATTCCTCTTTTAAACAGTAATTTTAACTAAGCTCGTCATTCATAGCTATTCAGCATCCTGAGGAAAATAAAACACACTTTGGCATGTGGATCCAATGCCAAAATTAAGTTTCCATCAAAGCACTGGAGAAAGTCACTTTTGAAGCCGTTTGTTATTTATCAGTGAAGATAAATGGCTTTCTAGGGAGATTCACTGTGAATAGGTGGTAAGATTTAGAAAGGACCAGTCTGATAGAGGAGACTTAATGTTTAAAATACTTTTGGTAAGCTAGTTAAAAATATCTGTCAGATTAAGTTGGAATGGCAGGATTAGTTATGTTGTTACATGACTGTTTTAAATTCAGCTTACTGGAATTTAGTGCCAAATTAAAATACGTAAGAACATTTAATATACACAATTAGCGGAAGTTAAGAAATGAAGGCAAAAAACAACTCTTTATCATGAGATAGGGAACTGTTGACAGTAAAGAAACCATCCCCCTACAAGCGCAAAGTAGAGGTTTTGTTGACGTTAAATCAGCATATTCTGCCTCGACAAGGGTACTTAATTTGAAAGCATCAGTTTCCCTAAACAGTTAGCTTCCGGATTGGAAAGGTTAATTTTTAAAAGGTCTTAAGTCGGTTTCATCTCCCCTTGATAAGCCACTTGTCTCATATGTGGTGGCTGTGCCAGAAAACGTCTGGTTAGATCCCGAGAGTCTGCCCTGGATGCAGAGCCACAGTCGGCCACCGCCACAGGCTACACAGTGCATTTCCCCCAAATCACGTCCTTTCTTACCTAGAAGCTCCCCAAGTCTGAAACCTGGCTCCACGATCTTTGACTCTGCTACTGTGGGGGAGTCTTGGGGGACAAAGGGTGGGGTGGCAGGGGTGCTTTGGAACTTGGTGAAAGTGCTTCCTGTACTCAATGAGGTGCTTGTTCTATTTGTCGTATTGTCAGGGCCCCTTTATCTGTTGCTGGGTGTCTGAGTTCATGACTTTTTCCCTTCCAATTTCATTTAAGTTTTCTTTTATATATTGCCACTTCTTAACTATGGTTCTTTCATATTCCTTACTGAACTATCTTAGTCTGACCTCCTAGAATGGCGTTTAGTAAAGCTCTCAAATCTGGTACTTACATTCTCATGCTATTTTCATCTGAATTTGTGGATTCAGTTAAATACGGAAGAATCAAAATCATGTCATTTCTCTGCTGCACTTTATTCTGAGTTCAGCGTGTTGGTGAGTGACCCAGGGGCTGCCCCCAGCCCGTGTACCTTCAATGTGAGGCTTTGCTGCCTGCAGGCGGTGGCGTGAAGTGGGTGTAGTGGACCGCCTGGGCAGGCCCTGTGCATGCGGGTGCAGGTGGGGAAGGCAGATGGGCTTGAATCAGAGCAGCGACCATGCCTTTGTAGATTTCTACTTTGGTCCTGACGACTGACTTGGCCTCTTTGTAAATGACAGTTGACCCTTGAACAACACAGAACGATGTGGGTCCATTTACAGGCAGATTTTTTTCAGTAAATACAGTACAGTACTCTAAATGTATTTTCTCTTACGATTTTCTTTGTAACTGTTTCCTTTTCTCTAGCTTACTTTAAGAAAGCAGTATATAATATATATAACATATAAAATATATGTTCCTCGGCTGTTGTTATCTGTAAAGTGTCTAGTCAACAGTAGGCTATTAAGTACTTAAGTTTGGGGGGGGTTCAACGCCACTAAGCCCCATGTTGTCAAGGGTCAGCTGTGTTTCAAATTAAAATATGGCTACTTTGGGGCGCCTGGGTGGCTCAATCGGTTGGGCATCTGCCTTCAGCTCAGGTCATAATTCCGGGGTCCAGGGATCGAGCCCCACATTGGGCTCCCTGCTTGCAGGGAGCCTGCTTCTCCCTGCTCTGCTCTCTCTCGCTCTCTCTCTCTCAAATAAATAAATAAAATCTTTAAAAAATAAATATGGCTACTTTTAAATAGTTTGCTTCAAAATTTATCTGCTATGGGCAGTACCTGGTGGGTAGGGAAGACAGGGGCACTAAAGTAATATTTATATGTATTGGTAACAAATTATTTCCTATTTATACCAGAGCATCTACTGGAAATATGAATATCTTATTGCATTATGGGAAAGTTATCAAAAATGTGTCACAAACACGAATTCGTGCAAATGTGGTATCTGAAGGCATTTGGATGACCTGTTTTCCTGTTCTTGGAATGAAACAATACTTGGCACTCCAAACCTGTGGGAGGCAAAGGAGGGATGGGTGGAGAGCAGAGAACTGGCCCAGAGTTTGTGGAGTAAAGTCTTACCTAGGAACCATAGTGTTTGGATCAAGTTTACCTGTGGGTTGGTGTTTTTTTTTTTTCCCCCCCTTGCTTACCTCAGATAACCTCTTACAAATGAAATAGTAGAGAATTACTTTTGCATATGTGGTGGTTTTTTTTGTTTTTGTTTTTGTTTTTGCTGGATCTTATTTTGCAGATCCCCCCACCTATTCCTTGACTATCTCTTTATTTTTTAATTTCATTGAAGTATAATTAACATGCAGTGTTATATTAGTTTCAGGTATACAATATAATGATTCAGCATTTCTGTATATTAGTATTCATCCTTGATGATCTTTAAAGAAGTTCATTTATTAACTTATTTTAAATGAACAGTTTTACCATTGTACCTGGGTTTCTCTGTTTCTGTTTATACTACTCTTTGACTTTAGTAATTCCTGTCTGCATCCGATGTTTTCTTCATAGAAATAGAATTCTTGCTCACTGATTTTATGGGCGTGTACCTTAATTTTGAATTGCAATATCAGATTGTAAATAAAAATTTTACCTAAGTAATCATTTTATTTGTGCCTTTTATTTGAGTTATTCAGATACTCCAAGAACAAAGCAGTTCACTTAGAAAATGTGTAGAGCAGAATTTTTTTTGGTATGCTCTTCTATTATGGATTAATGAGTAAGAAGTGAAAATGCTTCTGGATTTTAGCTGGACCAGTTTAAAAGTACTCATTTTCCCCACTTGTTCCGTAGAGCATCATAAGAGTTGTATTCCATGACAGACGGCTACAATATACAGAGCATCAGCAACTTGAAGGCTGGAAGTGGAATCGTCCAGGAGACAGACTTCTCGATTTAGGTACAAGTGGCTGTCAGAAGACTCTGGAGAGATTCAGGCACTTGTTTAGCTGTGCGTGGTGGGTAGGGAAGGCACCGTGTATAATTGTATGGAGAGAGTTTTGGTGTTAGCAGATCCGGTGTGCCTTGAGTTGTTCTATAGTTTAGAAATGAAGTGGTTTTTTAGCTCTAAAAGAACCTGAGCCAGGAATTTGGAGTTTTGAAATAATTTATTTAATTCTCAGTTGGCACCATCCATTGTATGTTGAATAAAATGAAATAGAAACCATGGTGGGAGAAAGTCTGATCGCATTGGGTGGGTTTCGATGTTAGCATCGCTGACCGGGAAAACGCTGACGGAAAAGGTTCTGCATGGAGGTGAAATAATTGCATGTGAACATAATTATAGTAAGTTGTAAGCTTTTTAATTATTTGTAGTGGATGAGTTTCTATGTAACTCTTTTTAAAATACAGATATTCCAATGTCTGTGGGAATAATTGACACAAGGACAAATCCAAGCCAGTTAAATGCGGTTGAATTTCTGTGGGACCCTGCAAAGCGCACATCTGCTTTCATTCAGGTTTGGAGTTTTTGCATTATTAGTATACTTGCCTAGTCATTTAAAAGGCCATGGATGAGATTAAATTCTTGACACATGATGTTACCTTTTTTTTTTTTTTCTAAAGATTTTATTTATTTATTCATGAGAGAGAGAGAGGCAGAGGGAGAAGCAGGCTCCCCGTGGAGCAGGGAGCCCGATGCGGGACTCGATCCCAGGACCCCGGGATCATGACCTGAGCTGAAGGCAGATGCTTAACCGACTGAGCCACCCAGGCGTCCCATGATGTTATACCTTCTTTAAATGCTTATTTGTAAGCTATCTTGTAATGTCTTCTATTTTATATATATTTTAATTACATATATACTGTTAAATTGGAGTTAATTTACTAAATCTGTCATTTATAGGCTAACATATACAAAGACAATCGGATATGTAAAGCATTATACAGACGTTAACTTTTAACATGGTTAGTGACAGTAATCAAAACTTCTGTTTTTCATAAGATGCATTTCTCTTGAATAAAAGCTGTTTAAAAGGGTAGGATTGGGGCGCCTGGCTGGCTTAGTCAGTAGAACATATGAATCTTGGTCTCGGGGTCGTAAGTTCAAGCTCCACATTGGGCGTAGAGTTTACTTAAAAAAATAAAGTAGAATAAAAGGGTGGGATTGAAAAAAAGTACAGTTTTAAGATTTTCTCTCTAGCATAATTTAAAGACATTTCTAATACTGAAAATTTCAAACCCCACAAAAGAAAGAGAATAATAATGATGAATCTTCCATGTACCCATCACCTGGCTTCACAGTTATTTAGTAGTTTCCTCTGTTTTCGTTATTGATGGAATACTTTAAAGCAACTCCCAGGCATCTCACTTCACCCATAAATCCTCAGTTTGTATCTCTAAGAGTTTTTTTTAGAAGTATTAATGTATATTCAGTATATTAATGTATATTTGTAAGTGGTGGAATTAAAACTGAGTAATGTTTATGTGGAAAGGGAGATTGCTTAATTGCTGATCAACCTAAGTAGTCTCTGATTTGTATGAACTGTAAAGAATATTTGTTTACTTATGTATTTATTTTTTAAGAATCTTTACTATTTTGTGTTTTTTGTGGTTTACCAAATACTGTCTCCTGCTAACGAATAGTCACTAGGGACACGGTTCATGTTAGTTGACGTTGTGCTGGTGCCAGGAGAGGGGCGGAAGTGGTGGGAGATGAGCGTTGTCCTCGGTGAACTTTGAAGGTTGACAGCAGAGTTCAGATTGATATGGGCACGGTGAGTCGTGGCCATGCCTCCAGGCCCCTAGGTAGTCTCATAAGTGTGTGTAGGCACAGCAGGAGCCTGATGGGCTGGCTAGAGTCCAGGTGGTGACAGAAGAGGGCAGGCGACAGAAGCTCTCGGCAGTTAGGGGTCGGTTGCTGTGCACTGAGCCACGTGCAAGGCCAAGGACGCTGGGGCTGAGAGCATCATTTGGTCCAGAGTGTGGAGGTAGGAGACGTCCACGTGACCCGAACAAGTCCTGTGTGAGAGGAGAGGCATTGGACTGGGGAAGAGCTCATTGCCAGAAAGCTCAGAAAGGCCCAGTTGGATTTATGAAAGGAAAGCCACGCAGAGGAATTCATGACAGCTGTCTGGCTAATATGCAGGAGTTCGTTTGGAAGGATCCTGAATTTATGGCTGTGGCAGAACACCTGAGAAGGAGCCAAATTGAAGGAGACTCAGTGGGCGGTACTTTGAGTCCCTTTCAGCTTGAGTTCTTTTCCAGGTGCACTGCATCAGCACAGAGTTTACTCCCCGGAAGCATGGAGGTGAGAAGGGGGTGCCTTTTAGGATTCAGGTTGACACCTTTAAGCAGAATGAGAACGGAGAGTACACGGATCATCTCCACTCGGCTAGCTGCCAAATCAAAGTGTTTAAGGTAAGCGATAGAAACGAGGCTTTTAGTAACTAAGGCCCAGTTTTGCTTGTAAATTGTCCATCTTCAACCTGATGGATGAGATCATCTATTTTGTTTTTAAGCCTAAAGGTGCAGACAGGAAACAAAAAACGGACCGAGAGAAGATGGAGAAGAGAACGGCTCACGAGAAAGAAAAGTACCAGCCATCCTACGACACCACTATCCTCACCGAGGTAATGCACAGTAGCGTTTCGGTTTCTGAGGCGAAGCAGCTGTTTGCGTATTAGCACTCTCTCTAGGAGGGGTTTTGCTACAAAGGGGTTGGGGAAGATTGGGTGGTAGATTGACATAATATTCTTTGTGAAATTTGCGGGGGATAGATTTTATTTAAATTTGGGGATTTTAATAGATTAGTTTCCTGGGTGGGGTCTTGAATGAAGATGCTGAAATCCCAATCTGGTCTCGGAAACAGACCTTACAAACCTTGAAGTTGTCAAGAAATTAAGTCGGGGCCTAGAATGTCTGATTTTTGTCACTGCTGGGGTTTTGCATTTTCTTTAACTTTGAATCCTGCTAGTCATACATTTGTTTAATTGGACTGCAGAGACATAAAACAGGGTATTAGATCTTTCTTTGTATAATGAAAAGACATTGATCCCAATCTTTGGTGTTTGTCCAGATGAGGCTTGAGCCTATAATTGAAGATGCAGTTGAACATGAGCAGAAAAAGTCCAGCAAGCGGACTTTGCCAGCAGACTACGGTGATTCTCTGGCAAAGCGAGGCAGTGTAAGGGACTTCTGCTTCTCTTTTCATTGTGCAAGAAACCTTGTGCAGTGTTAGATATAGGATCAACTTCCGCCGAAAAGTAAAGCCAAATTTGTTTTTGATGTCCTTGTCTTGATTTAATTTGCTTTTGTTTAGACTTCCTGCTTTCTGTTTGTTCCTCACTGAGGAAAATTTCCTAAATCTAACACTTTAAAACAAAGTTAACCATATTGGGTGGTTTTGGAGGGAAAAACGACACTCAGAAATGTGTTCCCTCCCTGTCTCCTCCCCCTCCTCCCTCCCTCCCTCTCTCTCCTCTGCACACACACTTCCTTCAAGAGCACTGAAATTAATTGAAAATACTTTCTTTAGTAAAATAGTTATCATTTTTGTGTAATTAAAAAAGGTTTTGCTTTCTCATGTTTTATAACTGTTAAGAAACTTTCATGGATTTTTAGAGAAATGATGGCAGCAAGCTTGACATTAACATGCAATACTTTGTGTCACATTTCCCTGCATGTAGTATAAGAATGTGCGTCTGTGCTTTTAAAAGCCCATTTGGCGGCACTGGTAAAAAGAAATCTTTGCATCGGTGTTTCCTCTTGGCTCCTGCATCGTGATCTTCTGCTTCAGGCCAGAATAGCGCACCTTGCTACCCTCGGACCCAACATGCAGTCAAGGGGTTTGGCTTTGTCAGCTTCAGTGCAGCAGATCCTTATTTTATGACCCAGTTCTTTATCGAACGGTCCACAAAGGTTCATCCTGTTCTTTAAACTTAGATCACCATGTACCCGCAGTTATTAATGTAAACACAGAGCATTCTCTAATTTTTAAAAGTAACTGTCATCATATGTATCAGTCACTACTCTCTCCATCTCATTGCAGTGTTTGTACTGTCAAGGTGCCAAACATGGGATTTTCACGCTCACACATGTATATAATTCTCTGTGCTATGAAAGTCACAGGCACTATCACAAGAACCTCATTTCCAAATTAAAGCATTGCGTGACGATATTTTAGTGCTTCTTTATGCAATAACCCTGAAAATGTAGTCGTCTGGATGGATGGGGAGCACACATGATGCATTTTCTTTAACTGGGCTTTTTGGATTTGGGTCAGAGTTTGTATGGAACAACTGTATGCTCCTTCCCTGGAATGCCCCCCTCCAGTTTTATGTTTTTAATCCTCTATCTCATTTCCCAGCTGAAGACTCACAAATAGTTCTCCGTAAACTTTTCTGGGGAGATCCTGTAACTCAAGTCACTTTTCCCTTCTTGTTGGAAACTATTTAGTTAAAAGGAATGAGTTCTGATAATTCATAAATTAAAGAAATCTGTTATAGCCCAGAGCTAATCTGGAGATGGTAGAATTGTTGGTAAATTATTAATAATTCTTAACTCAAGTCTAAAGTATGCAAAACGTCAGCAGTTCACTGGCCTGGGATTTCACATCTTCCTAGAGTGTGTTTCTTGCTGCCCTGGGCTGTGTTTGGTTGGGTTAAGCTACTTCAAGGGGGTGGTTAGAGCTACTCTTTGAAACCTGTTTAAAAAAGCAAGGTACAGATTAATCCCTTAAAAAAAGTCCGCAGCATTTCCTATATTTCTGCAAGTGCCTACAAAGAAAGGCCAGCATTTCTCATAGTTGTTGGATAGTGACAGTTGGCTTTCATTAGGAAGGGAGGTCAGGCTCACCTGTTAAAAGGTGTTGTGTGAACCGGTCCCACACTGAACAGAGGCCCTACTGTTGGTTCTGAAGAGCTGCCACCCAGCAAACCCTTTAATGCATCTGGGGGTCTTGGTCTCTGAGCTGTATTTTACTGGCTCACATCGGGACTGCCAATATCTACAGTCTAAGGTGGGTCAGCATTTTCCAGGCTGCTGGGGGCGGGGCTTTGTTCACGGTACACCAAAACTGTGCCCACGCAAATCCAAGCCAGGTAGTGCTGGAGGCATCATGAATTACAGACTCTGCTCAGGACCAGAGGCAGTCTAGCACTGTTTACCTTTCCAGACAGGGAGGCAGGACAAGGTAGAAGAAACATCGTGCAAGTCTTCCTCCGTGTGCCCTTGCCCTCCTGGCTTGAGACTGGGAGAGGAGCCCGTAAGACATGTGCAGGCGGGCTGCAGTGTGGCAAGCAGCCTGGCCATTTGAGACCCTGCCACCCATTATTCCCGAAAAGCCGAGGCCTCCCAACAGGACAGTTTTCTCCAAACACTGGTTTCCTGGTGTTCAGTGAGTCTGGCTTCCTATTTATTGGGCAAGTTTTAGATGTCAGCTATTAATTAGCAATCCTGCTTTTCTCCTGTTAAAGGAATTGAGGTATGTAAAAATGAAATAGTTGTGTTTATGGAGGTTCTGCACATTTGGTGTCCCCACCATCTTACTGTGCTAACTTGAAGCTGTTGATGGCTTCACGTCCTCAGACAGTGGGCAGTGATGAACAGCAGGTGTGGGGAGGCTTGATACTAAAAGGTTCACCTTACTTAGATGTGCATGTTAGGCTCTATCGTAGTATTTTGTATCTGGGGAGGATGGTGTAGCAGGAAAATCATCTTCCACATAGTGGAGCTGATCATGAGCATGTGACAGCCAGAAGTTATTAGATCTGCCAGTCGGGTTCCTCAGACTGCACGAGCAGCAGAGGTACTACTTTGTAAGATGAGAGAAACGAGGCCCTAGTTTAAAAGGAGGGGGCACTGTTGTGTGTAAAAGGGTGTTTAGAGTGAAATTGGTGTGCATGCAGTGAGTTCAGCGGTGCTGTCCAGCTAGATTCGATTGCTTTTTTGAAACTTGGTAGTAATTGAAACAGTAAGTCTGTAGTAGTCACTTTTCCAGTTTTTGAGGGGATACATAATGAGTGGTTGTAAAGAATGTTAAGAGCCTGGGATTTCTATTTTATTTTCCTTCTGTCCATACTTCTGATGGGTGTCAGATATGTTGTAAGCACCTATAACCGTTGGGGAGACTAGTTTCTGCCCTCAGTGCTTCACAGTCTCTTACCTCCTTCTACATGCAAAAGAATTTTGAAAAAGTATATACTCCCTTGCACGTTTTCAGGTTAACAGGAAAGTTTTCATTATAAATTTCATCATCATCATGCAAAAGAATTTTGAGAAAGTATATACTCCCTTGCACATGTTCAGGTTAACAGGAAAGTTTTCATCATAAGTTGCAAAGAAGACAATTTTCTGGCACCATAAATATTTGTGTTATAATTTAAGAGAAAGCTATTACACTACTTTTGGAAGTGTATTCATAGCAATTTGACACCCAGTATCTTTCATTTCAAAAGTTCATGATGAAGCTCTTAAGTCTGAAATTTTATCCCACTCTTCCTTCTTGATCTGTTTTCTCCTCCACTCCCCATAAATAATTTAATCCCAGTATGACGTACTTTTATGCCTGAAAATCTTTTTTTTGAATTTTGATTTATTTGAGAGAGAGAGAGCGCGCGCACACGGGAGAGCAGGGTAAGGGGGCAGAGGGAGAGAGAGGGAGAGAAGCAGACTCCCCGCTGAGCTCAGACCCTGACATGGGGCTCAGTCTCACGACACTGAGATCATGACCTGAGCTGAAACCAGGAGTCAGATGCACAACTGACTGAACCACTTAGGTGCCCCTGCCTGAAAATCTTTAAATGATCACCCTAATTACTTCTTTATGACATACTTACAGAAACTGAGATTTAAAATTTCCTCTGACCATAAGGCTTGTAAGTCAGTTGAGAACTCTGTGACCGTTGTGGGGCTTGAACTCATGACCCCGAGATCAAGAGTCACATGTTCTACTGACTGAGCCAGCCAGGCACCCCGAGAAATTGAAAACTACTTAATGATTAGTACCAATTTATCAAAACAACAAATCATATACATTTTGATGAATAGTTAATTGTAAACATAGAAATGTTATTGGAAATATATCATGAAGAATGAGACAGGGTAGAATGCAACCAAATTCTAGATTTTTTTTTATAGATAAGAGAAACTTCGTTTAGATGTGCTTATTTTTCTTTGAGCAGTGTCATTCAGGTCTTGAAATTCCTTTTGAGTTATCTGCACAAAAGCCCAGTGACCTATTTTTGTATGAACAGGTAGATTATTTCAGTACGTGTCAGTTGACACCAGGTCTCCTGAAGTTTCTGAAGGCAAGGAATTGAAAACTGCCTGACATACAGAAGAATTGTTTTATTTTTTAAAATTTTTAAATTTATTATTAAAGATTTTATTTATTTGTTTGACAGAGTGTGCGCACAAGCAGGGGGAGCGGCAGGGAGAGGGAGAAGTAGTGGGCCCCCCGCTGAGCAGAGAGCCCCATGTGGGGCTCGATCCTAGGCTCCTGGGATCATCACTTGAGCCAAAGGTAGACACTTAACTGACTGAGCCACCCAGGTGCCACCAGAAGAATTGTTTTAGAGTCATGTACTTTTTTTTTTTTTAAGATTTTATTTATTTGTCAGAGGAGAGAGAGAGCACAAGCAGGGGGAGTGGCAGACAGAGGGAGAAGCAGGCTCCCTGCTGAGCAAGAGTTGGACACGGGGCTCGATCCCAGGACCCTGGGATCATGACCTGAGCCGAAGACAGACGCTTAACGACTGAGCCACCCAGGGGCCCCAAGAGTCATATACTTTTTTATTTATCCTAATATCTTTGAATGGTCTTTTGCTTGGTTTGGGGGAGGGTCTTCTATCCCCCGTCCATGGTGAGGTATAATGACTTTTTGTGTAAAATGGGAGAATAATGATGCTGAAGGGGGCCTTGGAACCGAGGACGTCCTGACATGGACTCATTCTAGATGGAATATCAGGGAGTGAGATGGACTTGCTCCATACGTAGCTCAGGTTTAAAGACTTGTACTTGGCTGCCCTGGCCTGCTCAGCCTGCTCAGCATGCTTTTGACTTCAGCTTTTTCACCTCTCCTGATTGTAATAGTCAGTGCATCTCTTTGTATCTTTGCTCTATCTTTGGTCAGAATGGGACCCGGGTTGGAAAAATGCCCTAGATCACCATGCCCCTTCCAGAAACTATAAATACTAAACATGTGTAGACAGGTAGAGAGACATGGGCAGCACGGTACCTGTTGATGTGTGTTGATGCTAGGCCTGCTTCACCTTGCTTGGGGATTATTAATTTTAGAGGAATCAAGGAAGCAAGTGGGTACTGGCCAGGCTGCTCCTTGGGCAAGAGGGCAGAGGAGCGCTAGGGGGACAGAGCCCCTGTCACTGTAGGTGTCAGATGTCGCTTGTGAATCCATTCTTGCCTCTGCTGTTCTAAACCTTGATAGGTACCTGCTGCAGAGCTGATAAACAGGGAAGTGGAAGTTCTTGGAGAAGTATATGTTAAAAATGCCTGCATACATTTTGCTGCTCTCATCACTCAGGTCTTCCCTGAGATGAATCCGTGTATAGATGCAGGTGGCAGGGAAAGCCACACAGAAGTAAATTTGATACGTTTCTGTGAGGTTGCTTGATGAGTGTCAGGTGTCTTGTGTTTTATAACTTCGCATTTGGCCAGACTAGAGAGTGACTTACAAAAATATTTCTTCCATACACTTCTAAAAGCCTCCCGTTAATTTATTTTTGTTTCTATCCTTAGTGTTCTCCATGGCCCGATACCCCCACAGCCTACGTGAATAGCAGCCCTTCCACAGCGCCCGCCTTCACGTCCCCACAGCAGGGCACCTGCAGCGTCCCCGACAGGTACCGCTTCGTGCCGTCGCTCACCCGGGGCTGGCCATGCCGTGCTCCTTCATTGCCGTCCCTCTCACTTGCCAACATCCTCTTTTGTATATATATCTGAGGTGTATGGTCATGGGAGCTAGCCGCCTCAGTTTCAGAGGAGAACTGTCTTTTCTTTGCTTGCCAGCCTTTTTGCTCTTAGCCCTTCATGCCTCACACATTCACAGCCGTAGAAATTGTAGAAAAGGGGGCGTTTTCAAGCTGCATTCTTTGAGAGAGAAAAAGAACATGAGTGGAGTTCATGGATAGAGAAGGACTGTGAGTTATTAAGGTGAAACTTGACTTGGATGTGTTCAGATTGCATTTATTATAAAGAACGTTTGTCTTCAGTGCGCACCGTATCAAACAAGAGCTGTTTCCTGCCCTGTTTTTTCTGCCTCACAGTATACACACTGTTTACTTATTTATTTATTTATTATGGTAAGTTTTTAAACTTAAAGGAAAGGCTTTTAATTTCTAAAACTTTACTGTGGTTTTAGAAATGGGGATGGTGGACTTGTTCTATTTTATTCTCTGGCTGTGATTGGCATCTGTGAACCCTGCAGGCTCTGGGTGGGGGCAGGGGACGGTGTCACAGGGGTCCTGCAGGTGCCACATGGTACCCCGGGGTTGGGGGGGGCCTTGCCTTCCTGGGGCTCTGCTGAAGAGTTGATTCCGAGCAGGTCAGATCAGAAGTTTCTCGCTGGGAAGGAAAGTTACACAAGACTGCTGAGGGAAAGGTTCTCCTCCTTACACTCGGGCCCACGCCGACAGCAGGTCTGTCTCGGTCAGCTCTGGCTGCTATGACGGAACACCAGACCAGGGCCTTAGAGACAACAGAAACTTGTTTCTTGCAGTTGTGGAACTGGAAGTGTGAGGTCCGGGTGGTTCCGGCGAGGGCCCTCTGGGTTGCAGGTGCCACCCGGGTCCTCCCGTGGTGGAGCAGAGGCCCTTGTGATCTTGCCTTCCTGGTCATCTCTCAGGGGTCCCACCTTCTCACGCTGTCATGCCGGGGGGGGTGAGTTTGGTCAATGTAAGCATTTTGAAGGAACACAAATATCCAGTCTGTAACAGGGTCTGATAAGAACACAAACAAAAACATGCTTTTCCTTGCAGAGATGAGTAGATTGGCAGGCAGCTCATCTTGTAGATCTTTGTGCTTTTCGAGGAGGAACACACTCTTGGACTGTGCGTCGGAGAGACCAGGGAGTGGCATGTCCCCATGTGGGGGCCGTTTTAGTCTCAGCCCAGTCCGAGTCATCTTGGGCCACAGTCATGACTTCGGAGGCTGGCTCTGGGCTCCCACACTGCTGGCTGATCGCGCAGTTCCCGGGAGCCGCGCACCTTGCGCTGGCCAGGACCTGTGCTCTCTGCTCTGCAGGTGACGCACACCTTCCCTGTCTGCATGGGCCCAGAGGGGCAGTCACCAGTCAGCATTGGAACTTACGTAATTGAAGTACAGGCGCTGAGGAAGGGGTCTGAGCCCTGGACCAGGAAGGCACCACACTCCCTGTCTTCATTTTCGTTTGACCTTAAAAACTCAGAGAGAGTGGCACACCTTTGTTCCTTTTGCTTCCCTGAGTTTCTCTCTCTTTACTCATGGGTAAATATTAATTAAAGGGGTATCATTCTCCATTTTTACTTAGGACCATTTCTTGGAGCTCCTTATTTTATTAAAGTGTGTGTGTATGTGTGTGTATTTTGCAGTTACTTTTAACTCTTTATCTTAATTTCTCATATCTTTTTCCTTACTAAAATGAGTGAGTATCCTTCAATTTCCTGGCACCCCTGGAAATAATTGGAATCCTTTTGTTTCCTAAAACTTGAAGTTCTTACTAGAACTGCTGGAGGAGGAGGCACCAGTTAAACCGCCTCCTGTCAGTTTCATCATACTCCCTGACCAGTGGTGCCAACATTCTTAATTGCAAATCTGCATGCTCTGTTCTACAATATTAGATTAAATTTACCCAGTTTAATACCCTTTAATGTCTTGATTTAAGTGTGTGTGTGTGTGTGTAATAATTCTCCTTTCTTTCCTTCCGTTCTCCCCAGCAATTCTTCTTCCCCAAACCATCAGGGAGATGGAGTTTCACAGGCCTCCATTGAAGTAAGTGTTTTCATCCTGAAGCTGTCCAGTGCTCTAAGGGGTCTGCGTTTTTTTTGTTTTTTTTTTTTAAGATTTTATTTATTTGACAGAGAGCACAAATAGGCAGAGAGGCAGGCAGAGGGAGAGGGAGAAGCAGGCTCTCCACTGAGAAGGGAGCCCGATGCAGGGCTCGATCCCAGGACCCTGGGATCATGACCTGAGCTGAAGGCAGCTGCTTAACTGACGGAGCCACCCAGGCGCCCCTGCAATTTTTTTTTTTTTTTAAGGTTTTATTTATTTATTTGACAGACAAAGAGAGGCATAAGCAGGAGGAGTGGCAGGCAGAGGGAGAAGCAGGCTCCCCGCTGAGCAGGGGGCCCGATGCGGGACTCGATCCCAGGACCCTGGGATCATGACCTGAGCCGAGGGCAGTCGCCCAACCAACTGAGCTGCCCAGGGGCCTGCGTTTTAAGGCTCTTAGAGGGGCTTGAGGCATTATTTGGGTCTTTGAGTAGTCAGACCTGTCCTCCTCTTGGGTGTTTTTTTTTTTTTTTTACTTTAACCTTGGAGGAGTTCTGTGTTTTGTTTAAGTGTTGTTCTTTATAACATGCCAGTGACTTGGGGGTTTTTTGGTAAGTTTGAATAGTTTCTTCTGTTTGTGTTCATTTTCTTTGTTAATAGCAACTTCAGCCTTCAGCCACGATCCAGGAAACACAACAATGGCTGCTCAAAAACAGATTCTCTTCCTACACAAGACTGTTTTCCAATTTTTCAGGTATGTTTTGTGTGTGTGCATCTTTGTGTACATGTGTCTTTTGTACTTGTTTCTGTACTTTTATTAACCTTAATTTAAAACACTTTTTTGAAGTAATGATGGATTCATACCCAGTTTCATCTAGTGACATCCTGCATACCTCTTGTACCAGGAAACTGACATCAGTACAATCTCCCAAAACCAGTTTCATGTGCCTTCATTTTTGTACAAGTGTATAGAGTTCTGTGCAATTTTTCTCATTTTATTAACTTCATTTTGAAGTAATTTTTGCCTATCTTTTGCAAAGTTAATACAGAGGTGTTCTATGTACCCTTCACTCAGTTTCTCATATAATCGTAGTATGATCTCAAAACTAGGAAATAGACATTGGTGCAATGTGTGTATATAGTTCTGTGTCATTTTATCACATGTATGGATTCGTGAAACCACTACCGAAATTAAGATACAGAATTACAGCATCACCACAAGGATTTCCCTTATGCTTCCCTGCCCCTCCCCCATTCATACCTGTTCCCTGGCAACCATTAATCTGTTTTCTGTCTCTTGGATTTATCATTTCGAGAATGTTGTATATAATTGGAATCACATAGTATGTGACCTTTTGAGATTGGCTTTTTTTTCTGCTCAGCCTAATGCCCTGGAGTCTATCCAAGTGATTACATATAGTAATAGTTCCTCTTTATTGTTGTGTAGTAGTATGTGATATGAATCTACTCAGGTATGATTTTTGTATACTTAAACTTTTAAGTTTTTCTTACAGAGTTAGCTAAGGGAGTATGTTGGTTTTTTTTTTTTTTTAAGATACTATTTATTTATATGGGGGGAAGAGAGAGAGAGCATGCATGCACAAGTTGGGGAAGGGGCAGAGGCAGAGAATATCCTAGCAGACTCCCTCTGGGTGTGGAGCCTGATGCGGGGCTTGATCTCACGACCCGTGAGATCAGAACCTGAATCAAAACCAAGAGTTGGACACTTAACCAACTGAGCTGCCCAGGCGCCGCTGTTGATGGAATATTAAAAGGGACCAAGCAGAGCTTCTCCAGGTGGTGCTCTCTGTTTAGAGAGACAGTGATAGATAGACCACGTGGGGCGGGGGCAGCATTTCCCAAGTGTATTTGGCCCTGGGACCCTTTCCCTAACATAGCCTGGCTAAACACCTCCCGAGAAATTGCTGGGCCACACTAAACTGGTAGTGAGCTTGCCTTGCCCATGATGCTGTGGGGCCAGGGAAGTGCAGTACTGGCAAGCCTTCGAAGAGGACAGAACTGCGTGCACACGCCTGGCCTAGGGGAAAGCTTGATTGCACAAAGAACGTGGTTTCCTATTCCGTCAGCCATTTATTGCGATGTTGTGCAGTGAGTAGTCATTCCCTGTGTAGCTCTTTGTCTCTTTAAAATTAAAGTACTGCATGAAAGTCTTGCTGGCTTGTAGCCACATTTTTATATGACTATATTTTTATCTGTGAAAAATTGGAAATTTAAAAATTTCATTGTGTGGGGAAGATGCATCTTGAACCTTCATAGGGAGGACACATGAATGAAGAGCAGAGCACATACAAAAAGCTCCGGCAGTGGGAACCGAGGGAGGTCCTGTTAGATGAATCCATGTTTCTGTCTGGAGAAGTTTAAGCTCTTTTCACTGTGAGCAGCACTCCCATGGGTTGGCCTCCTGCATTTTCCTCACCGAGGAGCTTCCCAGCAGAACCGGAAGGAGAGGGTGAGGCTGCTGGCTCGGAGCCTCTGGGCACTCACCTTCAGAAAAGGCTGTGCGCACGAGCGTCTGTCCAGTTCTTTGTGCAGGTTGAGGGGATGCACACACCCATTCCTGGCCACAGCTGTGGGCCCCAGGAGAGACCGGGGCCAGCCAGTCTTTGCTTCCCTGGCTCTGAAAAACAACTCCTTTAGTGTTCGTGCCTCATGGGGGTGGGCTTCTCTGGTCTTTATTTCTTTTACAAGCTAGAAGTTAACCAGGCTCTCCCCTTCAGGCCTTCAAAAATAGAAAGACAACCCCATTATCTTGTTACATACCTAAGCAGCAGGTACTTATTACATGAAAGTCATGCCTTAATCCCAGAGGTCATCTTAATTGTACCAATAAACTACATCTTGAGTGTTAATAGAGGGAAAAAAGAGATTACGGACACATTCAAACATAAAAAGTAGGAGAGTATGAACTTCCCTGTAACCACCCCCAGCCTTTGGTCGGTTTTGCTCTCTTCTCTCTCCCGCTTTTCTATTCTATTTTAAAGCAAATCCTAGATACCGTGTCATTTACGCTGGCGATCTGTGGGGGAAAATCCTTTCGTAGGATTTTCGCTTTCGTACTAGAACTGGCTGCTGACAGTTACGCTGCAGAATGTTGGCAAGTGTAAAGAGGCCTAGTCCTAACTTAGCCACCAGCTTGGGCGGGTCCCCAAAACGCTAGACTTCCACTTCCTCTTTTTGTAAAATAAAACATTATTATTGTGATCTCAAGGTTAATTATCTGGGGTCAGAGTCCTGTTTATCCACAAAACCACCAGCCAGCCAAAACAAGGTGGGCGGTGAGGTCGTGTGCGGGGAACAGACAGGCCTGTGGGCCCCGCGCATCTGTCTGATTGACCTGCCTCTGCGCTTCTGAGCCCCTCCTTCGTACAGGGCACGGAAGTGCCAGCATTGTATTTACTTGTTTGCTTTCTCCGTGGGGCAGGGAGTGTGTGCACGCGCTCGTGTTTGTGTCGAGTGTGCACGCAGGAGACCATGGTGGTTTTGAGGGACAGCTCACTGTGTGAAGGCAGACGCTGTAAGGCAGCCAGTCCTGCTTGTTCTTTTTCCATCTCTTTGAAAAGAATCTCTTTTTGCTGTTCTCCAGGTGCCGACTTACTAAAACTGACAAAGGAGGATTTAGTACAAATTTGTGGTGCAGCCGATGGAATTCGGCTCTATAATTCCCTGAAGTCCAGGTAAAATACTGATAGGAACTGTTTGCTTGAGCTGAGGACGTGCCTTTGCGTGGGGAGTTTGGGCAGAACGTGGCCGCGCTAGGTTGGCGGTTGGCGCACGTGCGCGCTGTGGGGCGTGGGCGGCATTGCGCTCACAAGAAGACTGTTTTGTGTGCACCCTCAGGGCGGGCCCAGGTATGATGCAGGCACTGATGAGGGCAGAGGTAGACTGTAAGGCTGTAGAAATGCACATGGGCAGGACTGATTTCTTGAAGACGACTGGGTTTGTTGCCAAGAAAACAAACTTCTCATTTAGGTGAGCGATACAGAATCTGTGGCTTTCAAGGTCATATGACTAATACTAAACAGTTGTTAAAAATGTAAACTTCTGATTGTGAATGAAAATGATGGGATTGTAAACTCTTCGGGCTTTTAAGATGCATTTACTATCGTTGCTATTTCTAGACTTGTGGCGTGAGAATTCCATTAAAATTGAATCTTATTAACTTTAAATTGCTGACTTAATCTTGAAACTTAAATTTACCAGCATCTGACAGACCATCTCAATGGTTTAGAGTCTGGATCATCAGATTAGACCACCTGTGATAGTTGGTGTGAGGTGTGTGTTTTTATATTTTTACTAGTCATTTATTTCGTGTAATGAACTAATACCGTAAAGTCTGCGTAAGGAAATAGAACCTAGAGTCCTGTAGTTGGCATCTGTACCTGCTGCGGGGCGGCGTTCTCCCGCCGGCTCACACGGGGCGTCTTCTGATTGCAGGTCAGTTAGGCCCCGCTTAACCATCTACGTCTGCCAGGAGCAGCCAAGCAGCCCACCCCTGCAGGGCCAGCAGCCGGCCGGCGGCGGAGGCGACAGTGGCGGTGGGACGCCTTACGGTGGGTCCAGAGCGCACCTCGGACAGCGAGGCAGAAACAGGAAGGCTGGGTGGGAGTGCAGACCGCATGGGGTTGGGCAGTGGTCCTGGGGCCAAGGCCTCCCCAGAGAGGAAGCGAGCTGCCTTTCTCTGTTCTCGCCGCCACTCTCCAAGTCTCCTTGCTGGAAAGAAGAGCTAACAAGCAAAAGCCCAGCTCAAGTGCTTTTTGGAGTTTTGCTGGCTTCTATTCCCCCCCACAAACCTCAGATTTACTGAAATGATGAGTATAACATTGGTAGCATGGCAAGAAAGCAGGAGGGTTTTTCTTTTTTTTTTTTTTCCTTTCCATTTTACTGACTGGGGGGAGAAACATAAACTGTCACATGTGGAGAGATTCATGTGCGTCCCAGCACCAGGTGCACGGACTTGTGTCTGACGTGCAGCCGGCCAGTGCTGTGAGCTGTGTGCTGAGCACTCCACGCCAGTAGCCATCCTTCTCAGCCTACGGATTCTCCTTACTTGTATAATAGAGCGTTGGCTGAGGGCAGAAACAGACCCTGGCCCTTCTCTCCTCTGAATATGGCCCTTAAAAACAAAAGCAATTACACCTTTTAAAGGATGTGTTTTCTTATTTGTAAGGTTGGGTGCGTGGTAATACCTTCCCTCTTCCCTCTTCCCATATTCTGAAACAAAATAAGGGCAACACACTCAGAATTTTCCAGAGAGAAGTGTGTTATGGAATTCACAGAGGCGATCATTTACCCTAATTTTGGGTAGAGCTCCGAGAATCACTTGGTGTTCGAAAAATCCAAAAGAAAGCATCACTCTTGTGAGCCTTTCCACTTGGTGTCATTTTGACTTTAAAAGCTGTGAATTTGAAGACTAAAGATACAGAGGCTTAGCTTGAAACGGTAACATTCTAAAGGAGCTCTCCAGTATCACCAGGATCTTGTATATCATTTCCATCTATGCGGTCAGGCCTGTTGGACTGGGGAACGTGTTTGTGGAGGAGAGTGGGAAATGTTGGCCAACTTAGCCCTAGATCAGGGGTTTTCTAAGTTTCGGCAAACTTCCCTAAAAGGCCAAGTAGGAAATGCCTCTTTGTGGACTCGGGGGGCTCTTTCCCACCAGCCCTGCCATTGCGGCGCCAGAACCAGCCCAGACCAGATATAGTGATGGGTGCGGCTGCGTTCTGATACAGTTCTGTTGGGAAAGAACGAGTGAGAGCAGGGCTGGGCTCACACAGGCTGTAGTTTGGGGACTCCGCTCTAGATCAGCTCTGTGTCTCCCCTTAATTGTAGTTCCACATCCGAAGCTTTCCATAATGTGTAATTAGCAGAGGTTTCCGTTATTGTAAGCACACAAGAAACCCCAGTTTGGGGAAGCCAAGTTCTAGCACTGATGCTCTGCTCGCTGGCTGGCTGGCTTAGGCCGTAACTGAGCAGGACCTACAAGAGCCGTGCTCGCTGCAGATGCACTGGCAGCAGATGGCGGCTGCTGCAGAGTTAAAGGTTCCAGAAACCCGGGCCCCTGGCTGGACTGCACTGCAGCTTGTGGGAAGCAACAGTAGGTGCCACTGTCCACGTCCTTAGCTTTTTATGCTGTGTCTTCTACACCGTGTTCCATTTACTCTCGGGGGGATTCCTTGGGATACATTCCCCATAGTAGGATTACTGAATCAAGAACAGAGTTCTTTTTATATATCACTAGAAACACATGATGTTTGAAAACTGCTTTCTTCAGCTATAATTTATATACCATAAAATCCTTCCACTGTAAGTGTCCAGTTCCAAGACAGTTTAGTCACTTGAGAGTTTTGCAGCCATTACCACCATCGGGTTTTAGTAGTCCCATTACTCCAGAAAGGCCCCTGTGCCCATTTGCAGTTAATTCCTGTTTGTTTTTTAAGAAAAATTAAAACCTCAGATCCTTCTGTACAGATATTAGTGTTAATGTTTATTAAATTGTACGTGTGGTATAATTTATTATTATTTCAGTAGGTGGTAAGGGAGGAAAGAAATAACTAGTTCCCATTTTTAATTTTTATATATTTTTTAGTACTTTGAAAGGGGTGATCTTCTTAGAGATGACATGGAAAACAGATCAAAGATTACTGCTAAAATACTCTTATTTTTTATTTCAGTGTATCATGCAATCTACTTGGAAGAAATGGTTGCTTCAGAAGTTGCTCGAAAACTTGCATTGGTGTTTAATATTCCTTTCCACCAGATTAACCAGGTCTACAGACAGGGGCCCACTGGTATTCACATTCTTGTTAGTGATCAGGTAACGTGAACTGGCCGTGCCATTGCTTCTCCCTTCCACGCTGGCCTTTATTTTCTGTCACTGAAGAACTCTGGAAAAATTCTGTGATCTCTTGTGCAAGTACTCCTGAGAATCAGTTTTAAAGAGCTGGGGTCAAATTTGTAAGAATCTAAAACCAGGAGTTTCGGGTATCCTGGTGATACAAGGGATATAAACCCAGACCTATGGCTTGGCCCCCTCTGCCCTCCACCCTCCCTTAAACACTCACTGGGGGCTCCGGGGTTAGTGGGGCTTTGGCCAGGTTTATGTAGGGGGGTCTTTGGATGTGTTTTCGTTTTCTTTCCTATTTGATGACTGATCTTTATTTAAAAAAATTTTTGTTTTTAAAGATTTTATTTAGTAGAGAAAGCACGAGTGGTGGGGGGGGGGGGGGGCAAAGGGAGAGGGAGAAGCGGGCTTCCCGCTGAGCAGGGAGCCTGATGTGGACTCAATCCCAAGACCCTGGGATCATGACCTGAGCCGAAGGCAGACGCTTAACCGACTGAGCCACGCAGGCGCTCCTGATGGCTGGTTTTTAAAAACATTAAGGTTATTGTTCCCCCAGTGTTCCGCGACAAGCAGGTAATAATAGAAGACCGCTAAGACCGTGACTCTTTTGAGAGTTGTTATTCACAGGGCCTGTCGGGGAAAGCTCCCAGTGGGTCAGGTGGGTTGTAGGGCTGTCTCAGGGACCGGGCACGGGCAGGCCTCGCCAGCACGAGGCCCCGCCAGTGCAGCAGGTGGAAACGTTTACTACCTTACGCTGCCTTCATCAGTTACCGTTTCGACCACCGAGTTCTGTATTTGTGCAACAGTATATAGATGATGACATTTTCCTGGAGCTGCCAATTCTATTCTTTTCTGATCAGCTCAGAAAAAACAGTTGGATCTTAATTGTGTTATCTGCTTTATCCTTCTAGATGGTTCAGAACTTTCAAGATGAGAGTTGTTTTTTATTCTTCACAGTAAAAGGTACTTTGCATGAGTGCATGTGTCTTGAAATGCTGAAATCATGAAAGATGATGTGTGCCTGTAATCAGTAGTCATCTTGTGTGTTTACTTTTGAAAATGCTGGCTTTACTAGTTTTAAGAGTTTGAAAAATGAATCGAGAATATTCCTAGTGGTTAATAAACTAGCAAATAAGAGGAGTCAGTCCTAGATTATTGGGAAAAAATACTCAATTCAGCCACCATTTTCCTGAACACCTTTCAGACAGCTTTTGGTGCTAGAAAGGTCTTGAACAGAACACTCCGTGGAACTCCTAGCGGGGAAAGCAAACCAGAATTAGCCACCAAGTGCATACAATTACAAAATCTTTTAAGTGCTGTGAAGGAGTGGGAAAGTGGGGGTGCTTGTGTTTAAGGGGGTGCCGGGTAGGGGGACATGGAGCAGATGAGCGAGGCCTCTCTGAGAAGGTGTCAATAATGCTGAGACTTGAAGAGTGAGGGGAGCTGCTCACCCTAGGAACACCCCAAGGGGGTATGAGGCTGTGTGCAAAGGAAAGAGCCGGGCTGCTGTGCAGGGCCTAGTGAAGGCTGTGTCAGGGGCACACGGAGCAAGATGGAGTCAGGGTGGGAGGTGCAGTCTGGTGTGCAGGACCTGGTATAACGGTAGTTGAGATTTTACTTGAAATGCGTTGAGAAGTCCGTGAAATTGTTTAAACAAAGAAGGAATGTGATTATGTTTTTCTTCCACTCTTGCAACTCTGTGGAGGCCGATGGGAATTGGGGGAAAGCTGGAGGCAGGAGGCAGGAGAGGTCACCTAGGTCTGACACATTTATGGGCAGGTCCTGCTGTGCTCCACAGTTGAGCGGGGGTCGGGGGAGGGCGGGTGACTCTTGTAAGAGCAGCTGGGCAGACAGTGTCCCTAGTAGAGAGGCAGAACCGGTTGGGGGCGGGGGGCGGCAAGAGTTCCATTTCAGATGTGCTTGGAAAGGTCAAGTTGGCAGTGAATTGTCCCTGTCTGGGGCTGGCAGGAAAGGCCTGGGCTTGAGATGTAACTGGGAAGCCTTTAGCACATCAGCAGTGACCCTCAGCTGTGGAAGTCACTGTGGTCATTTAGGGAAAGAATATATGGAAGGAGGGCCCAGATGGGTCTCAGAGAAGTTCCAACTGGAGGGCTAATGGAGGGATTTTTAAATGAAAATTATGATGAGGAGAAGAGACTTAAAAGTCCAGTGAGTTAAGATCCAAATCCAGTCCGAGCACAAAAGCTGCAGCTCGAAGAGCAGGTCCTGCACCCCCCTTCCCCGGGAGGCGCTCTTGAAGGGCGGAGTGCAGAACAGCAGCGCCCTGCATTTGCCACCCCGTCGGCGGCGTGGTGGCTCCAACCTGGGCTGGCTCACTTCCTCGTTCGCTGTCACAGCACCTTTGGCTTAGTGCTCTTCTGCTCAGCGTTTTGTTGTCAAAGCAATACAGCTTTTTACTCTGCAAAACTCAAATTGTCTAAAAAAGGAAATTCATACTGTAATCGGATGGTTGTGTTCCGTGACAGCAGGGGACGTTGCTAACGTCAGACACCACAGGACATCCCCTCCAATCTCAGGATGCTGTCTTTCAGAGTCCTGTCCTCATGAAAATATTTCTTTTGTTCCTTGGTGGATGCCTGTACCGCTTCTAGCCATTTCCTGAGAAACACTAGGCCGTCAGACAAAAGTAGTGATATTTTCAAAACGTTTCAGATCTGCCTCTGAGGAGCTCAGAGCTGATTTCCAGGGAAGGTTGGATGGATGCACTCAGTGTGTGTGTGTGTTGTGGGGAGTTGGCTGTGCTGGGGCCTGCCGCGGCGTCCACACCTGCTCCCGTGCCCCTTTGTTTATGCCGCCTGGGCCGCTTGTCTCCATCCCCGCATGCCCCAGAGCGGACCGGCAGCATGGGCCCGACATCAAAACGTGAAATACCTCACCAGGGACTGTGTGCATGCTCTTTCTCTAGAATCATTTAAAGGTAGCTGCAAGTGGGATGGGAAACTGCAGCTTTCTGGGAGTTTTCAGTTTAACGGCCTTGGTTTTCCTAGGCCTGCCTGAAAGAAGTGTGTGTCACATCTCTTTTTCCCTGCAGCTGAGAACGGTGATGGTATCCACATAGTTTTGAAGTGACGTCGTACTTAGTCTGAACTATATTCAGTACCAAATAAAGTCACGCTTAAAAGTGTGTGAAGACTGAATCCAAGAAGTCCTGGGATTGGATTTTAGCGTATGAAATGTTTCATATTGAAAACACAAGATGACCTTTCTAATGAGCTGTATGAGAGGTGAATCTCCTCACTGTCACTGCCATAGCCAAGCATCCTCGTGAGCGTGAGCACGTCGGGACAGTGCGCGTGCGGCTCTGGGGGCCACGTGCCGGCGGGGCTGCCTGCTTCTCTGGCAGAGGCCAGTAGATACAGTTCCTAGAAGCAGCCTTTGCTGTCTTTTTACACTGTATGCGGTTTGGAAATGAATGTAAAACATACTGTGGGCATTTACCTTTCTGTGCCAGTTTGGCTTTTATGGCCTGAACCTTCTGCTGCCCCAGAGCGGGGGTGGGGGACAGTGCTGTCGTGGAGCCGGCACGGAATCTGTCTGCAGGTGCGATGTGCCGAGACCGTGATCGTGGGTCAGGTAAGAGGCTTGGCGCCTTCTCGGAAGAAATCATGTCTGAGGGTATGTGTGACGGGCTCGTGCCAGATCGGGGAAGACCCAAGCCAGGAAGTCAGCCTTGAAACAAACTGCATTATCAAGAGTACCTTGGTGAGAGGATCAGTGTAAATCCTAATAGGTACAAAGACTTTTGTGTTTTTGCTTTGTCCCAGATTTATTGAAAAACCTTTTGCTTTTGCTTCCATTTTTAGCATTTTGTTTCTGGTTTTCATTTTTGAACCCCCTTGCCTTTTAAACTCATGTGGTGGTCCTCCCTTTCTCTGTCCCTCCCCACCCAGCACCATCCTATTCTTAAAACATTTTTAAAGCCCTGTCCCAGACAATGGAAACAGGTGACCTAGGTAGGGGGAAACGTAGGGTCATTTCTGATGTGCTTTAAGGGGTCTTTGTTATCAACAAGTTGAAATTATTCACGGCAATTGAGATGTCATAAATGAAACACTAAATTGTACTGTAAAAATTCTCCACACTTCTGAAATATAGGAGCTTTAGTATAATCATGGGTAAATATTTTGGTGATTGAGAGGCTTTCTTAAACACCACATAATAGCTTCTTCTATAAAAAGGGTGCCTCTTCCACAAAACCAAATGCTTGTCTGCCAGTACACTTCTCAGAGGGAGTCCACTGCTTTTGCAATTTTCCTGTCTTTTCGATTCCCTCTGCCCAGAGCCTTCCCCACACGCACCGGCAAGCATCTGTGAGGCCTGTGGTGTAGCAGACCAGTTCTTTAAACTTCAGTTCCCCTTTAACTATAGCATCTCTGACCAGTTACGCAGCTGTCTTGGTTCTGAATGTGTTATTTGAATCTTATCTTTGTTCCGGCAGAAATAGGAACGAGTAATTTGGGCTTTGAAATCTCCCAGAAGACAGACTAGTTCAGTGTGTAAAAGCTTTGACCTTCTGTGTTTTATTCTTAAAGGGTTATTGGATACAGAGAAGCCCAGTCTCTAAATATTTTCATCTTTAGTTTGAAAATATCTGTAACTCCTATAGGCCCTAAAAGCAGAGGAATATTTCCTTTCTGTCATCTCCCTTTGCTTTCATATGAACACGTTTTCTGTTACCAATCACTTGGGAAAGAAGTGAGCATATCTCTTGTTTCAGATTTTTGCTTGTCTGTTTAGCATTCCTTTTTGAGTCTCAAGGTATATGGAACAATAAATGTCATTTAAGGCTGTATGCTATTTTGAATTCCTCATCAGGTTTTAGAAGTGGGGTTAAAAACACTTAAAAGCTCATCAAACTTGAAATTATACTAAGCAGCATTGAACATTAGTCTGTCCCAGTGAAGCAGGTTAAATTATGGCACCAGCAAATTTGTTACTTTGTTTTTTTAATAGTAGGATGTATACATTTCAGTATAATAAATGTTTTCCGATTGTTTTGCAAACGCGTGTGTCATTTAAAATACCAGTTCCTGACAGTATCCCCTCAAGTCCTGGAATCGAGGGGGTTCCGTGCATGTGTTCTGAGCCCCCCTAAGCCCACATATTGTAAGAGGTGAGGCCTAGGTGTTGTGTTCTTTTCAGTTTTCTCAAAGCTGATGCAACGGAGGACAAATTATTCCATTCACTGTTCCACTCCTACAGAGGAAGCAAACCTGATTTTCTCATCTGAGAAACCTCACCTGAGCTATTCCTGTCTTCTAATGAGGTCATAGGTCATTGAGGAGTGAGTCCAGTAACTGATAGGTTGTGTCCTGGCTCAAAGAAGACAGTATAGAAAGCCCTGGTCATAGAAAATTTTAAAACAGAGACTATAATTTACTGAAGCTTATGCTCTTTATTTAAATAGCTTCCTGCATCAGACATGCCCCCACACGTAGTGGTGTAAATGTGTATGAAAATAACCACTGCGGTATATACGCACACATTCTAGACCTGGGAATATTGGAGGATCTCGTCAGGCGGTGAGGTCCTCAGGGCTTGAATGCTTATTCTGATGATCTTGTTAAATTAAGGGATCATGTATGCACCTGCCTTCTCTTCCCCTGTGCCCCTAAATGGTCCGTCTGATGCAAGCACGGCTGGTCGTGGGAAAGCACCGTATAGGGCTTGCTGCTCCACTCCAGCTTCCCGTGAGCTCCGTGCTCTTCGTGGTGGGGAATGGCTGCTAGGAAGGGTCAGCTGCCATGAACACTGAAGCTGACGATGTGAGAGTGGCGATGGGTTCCTAATCTTCATAAATATCACACATGTGGACAGCACAGGATGGAAACTAGAGCTTATCTGATTTTAGATAATATGAGGAAGGTCTGAATTTGGAAAATGGTTTCCCATCCAATGGTTTTGCTCAGATTTGTCTGCCATTAAGGTTATAGCAATAAAACCCTCTGACTTAAGCATTGCAATGGTTTATTCATTTTTATATTGAGTCTAAAAGGTGCCAACACTTTACTGATCTGAGTTTTAAGTGTGTACAATTTTTGAATAGTTCTGGTGTAACTTGATTTCTAAGATTTTAAAATAAACTTGGAAAAAATCACACCCATTCTACATGCATCCATTCATTATTTTTAATTGATTATATATATTGTAGATAACTTAAGCCTTAATTCTGTTTAAGGTCCCCCAAATTTTGTGAGAGATGACATGATTAGCTTTTCTCCTAGAACAAAAATGCACTCTGTGCTGTAGCGCCTGCCACAGCTTATTTGCAGTCTGGCCACACAGACTCTGAGTTGTGTTTGTTTAGCTTTTGGTCCCCGGAAGTGTATATGACAAGTTGACAGAAACAGAAAGGTGAAGACCCTGCTCCACCCAGTTCAGAGTCCTCATTTCTTTGGTGTCTCATGGAAACCTAACTTGCCTCCCACCTAAGTGTCTACGTATAAAACTCTCAGGCATCACGAATTTGCAGTACAGGTCACTTTGAGAAAGTTGCTATTTCATCTTCAAAGTGGAAAAGTCCTGCTAATCAAAATGAAATCAGTGTGAATTAAAGCAGGCCACTGGCTTAAGAATCAGGTAGAAAATCAACAGCTTACTCTTTCTGCTCGATTTGTGCTAACACTGATGGGCTGTTTGAGGAATGCTGACAACGCCAACAGCAGGACTTTGGTACCTAAGAAGGCACCCACCTCTTAAGAGATCCAGGTCTCCTGCATGGTCCAGGCTGCGCTGAGACCACTCTTGCCGGGTGTTGGCAGACACAAGGCTTTGATTCAATTGCATCGTAGCAGATTAAAGGTGAAAACTATCACCAGAGTTACTGCAGTCCCTACTGCATTCTTTTACCTGTAAATGTCTTTCCCGATGGAGAACCAAGAGATTTGGGTGAAGGTGGAGCAGGTCAGGAAGACTCAGGTCTTCTCTGGAGGAAGGGACACCTCATCGTGCCTTGGGCTCAGGCAGCCGCCGTCAGAGAATGACACAACACCTGCACAGTCGCTGTCCACTTCCTCCCACTGCTGTCGGGGGGGTGACAGGAGCAAAGTAGGCATGGACTTTGACATGAGGGAGTTGAGCCTGGAAGCAGAAAGCAGACGGACGTGGAGTAGTCATTACATGCATATTTGGAGGGCTACAGGCACAATCCTAGACAAGCCCACAGCTCTCCTTGATTCTCAGGCAAATAGCAGAAACAGAATTTCTGGTGTAGGCTAGAGCTATTTCTGTTTACAGGGGACCTGAAGCGAAGAGACCCGAATATCTGCCCGGGGCGGTCACGAGTCCTATATGTACACCGAGCAGAGTCCGCACAGCTCCAGCACCTGGGGCAGCTCTGGGAGGTAAATGCAAAGCTGCCTCAACTTAAAGCCTATTCAAGAAGACTAGGTGAGGGGTGCCTGGGTGGCTCAGTTGTTAAGCATCTGCCTTCGGCTCGGGTCATGATCCCAGGGTCCTGGGATCAAGCCCCGCATCGGGCTCCCTGCTCAGCGGGAAGCCTGCTTCTCCCTCTCCCACTCCCCCTGCTTGTGTTCCCTCTGTCGCTGTGTCTCTCTCTGTCAAATAAATAAAAATCTTAAAAAAAAAAAAAGACTAGGTGAACTACCTGGGGGGAGAAAAGCCACTTTCTACTTAAGCCTGTTCTCTGGAAGTTAACCAAGACCATGGTCTCCTTCCCACTGGTAATGACCTTAAGTCTCTTTCCTTAAAACGTTCTGATCACTGAACTCTGGAACCTCTCTGCCCCACACCCATTCTGGAAGTTGAATCTGCCAGGGTGAGATCTAATAAAATTTTGAGTAAGAAGACACTTGAGGAATACATCAGTTTGCATCACTATAAGCTTAGGATAAAATGTAGAAGATGGAGTCTTGACATATTCATTGTTTGCTTAGAAAGTGTGCCAGCACCCCCCCCCCCCGCCTCTGCCCTTACCCGCATCCGCTTGATGCCCGCGCGGGTAACCTGCTGGCAGTCGTACAGCTCGAGGCGCTCCAGGCCGCGGCAGTTCTCCAGGTGCTCCAGGGCCACGTCGGTGATGAGGAGGCAGTTGTCCAATTCCAGAACCTGCAGCCTCTCGTGACCGCAGGTGCTGTTGCTCAGGTGCAGGATCCCGTCATCTGTGATGAGCTCACAGTGGGACAGACTCTGGAACAAGAAGACACACGCGGATGTTTGTGAGACCTGCTCTTTCCAAGGCTCTAGGCCTGTGAGAAGCACAGAAGCTGGCCCGAGCAGGGTCCTACGGTAACCGCTTATCACAGGAGGATTAAACACGAAACCTTAGGGTCCTGTGGCCATGGGTTCGCTGAGCTCTTGGTGGCCTTTCTCATCTTTCCAGTTATGTAAAGATGGACATCAAATTGTAGGTGATGATACAGTTGGAAGAGGACAATGTGAGCGGATCCTGAACTCACCTCCCATAAATTCCCTGATTCCACAGCTACATAAAGGACAGCCTACTCTGGAAAAAAAACTCTAAAGACTGACTCGTACACACTGAATGAGAAAAGGTCCAGGTCACAGGGGGTCAGAGAAGCTGGGACACAATCTTGCCATAAGTCCCACCCCCAATGCAGCAACTCACAGCTGGGAGGGAACTCAAAACTACAAAACAGCCTGGGGAGCAAAGGGTTGAACCGCACGTTGGGCATCTCAGCTCTTAAGATCTGTACCTGAGAGATAAACCCCTAAAATACCTAGCTTTGAAAACCCACAGGATTATATCCACAGGACCCACAAGACTGGTGATCCCAGCAGCTCTTAAAGGGCTCACACACTTGGACTCACCCACCTCAGGGCCCAGCATGGACATGGCCCGTTGAAGGGTGCCTGGACTTTGTGCAGGAGAGGCTTGTTAATACTTGTCTTGGAACACTGGCCTGAGGGTCAGGCATCTGATTTGACACATTTGGGGGCATGCTGGGGTACTCTGTGTGGGGACTGGTGGGCACCCATCTTTGTGCACTCCCTCTATCTTGCTCCAACTGGTGGATGCTTTAAAAAAAACAAAAAACCCTTTTAGGCTTTTTTCTTTTTCTACTTTTCTTTCTTGGTAGGCACCATCTCTATGCTCTCCCTCTGTCACTCCCCAGCCAGTGGGCGCCAACTTCTCACTCTCCCTCTACTGTGCTTCAGAATGCCATTATCTCTCAGGAAGGAACTTTTACAAGTTCCTTTTACAAGTGTCCAGTGCCCTGGTTTTACATCTGGTACCTTGGTTTTTGCAGCTGCTGTTAGAGGGCACTTCTACATCTCCTGGCCCTGGGGGCCAGTGGGGTTTATGCTGGTGGGCCTCACAGGACTGTAACCAACAGAGAAAGAGTTCTTAAATGGCCAGTATCCCCAGGGCACAGCAAGAGGCAACAGGCCCAGGAGTTCAGTCTAAAAGAGGCCTAACAGCTTATCATCACAGCTGCAGCCTGAGGGGCAGGCTTCTAATTAAACACATCTAAGGGCTGACTATACCTACTGGAGACCTCTGGAGGGCACCAGGATCTCTCGGAGGGGAGCTTTTATATGCATCTGGTGTCCCAGTTTTACTTCTGGTGCCCCAGTCTTTGGGACATGCTACTCAGGGATGCTCCTTGATCACCTAGCTCTGAGAGGATTTTGAACTCACCTCCCATAAACACCCTGATTCTACAGCTATAATAGATGAAAAAAAGTGGAGGTAGCATAAGGGACTTATGGGACAACATCAAGTGGACTAACATTCATATCATAGGGCTCTTGGAAGGAGGAGAGAAAGGAGCAGAAAAATTATTTCAAGAAATAATGGCTGAAAACTAACCTAGGGAAATAAACACACATCCAGATCCAGGAAGTCTAGAGAGTTCTATAAATATGAACCCCAAGAAATGCACACTAAGACAGATTATAATAAAATGTCAAAAGTTAAAGAGAATCTTGAAATCAGCAAAAGAAAAACAACTTGTTATGTACAAGGGAACCCCCATAAGACTGTCAGATTTTTCTGCAGAAACCGCAGGACAGAAGGGAATGGCATGATAACATTCAAAGTACTGAAAGAAAAAAATACTCCAGCCAAGAATACTCTTAACTAGCAAAGTTATTCAGAATTGGAAGTAAAGAGTCTTACAGACAAGTTAAGGCTAAAGGAGTTAATCACCTTACTAAACCAGCTTTACAAAAAATATGATTTTTTTTTAAAGATTTTATTTATTTATTTGACAGAGACACAGCGAGAGAGGGAACACAAGCAGAGGGAGTGGGAAAGGGAGAAGGAGGCTTCCCGCCGAGCAGGGAGCCCGATGCGGGGCTCGATCCCAGGACCTGGGATCATGTCCTGAGCCGAAGGCAGATGCCCAACGACTGAGCTACCCAGGCGCCCCTGTTTATTTTTTTTTTTTTAAAGATTTTATTTATTTGAGAGAGAGAGCATGAGAGGGGAGAGGGTCAGAGGGAGAAGCAGACTCCCCACTGAGCGGGGAGCCCGATGTGGGACTCAATCCTGGGACTCCAGGATCATGACCTGAGCTGGAGGCAGTCGCTTAGCCAACTGAGCCACCCAGGCACCCCAGCTTTACAAAAAATATTAAAGGGACTTTGTCGAGATGAAAAGACAGGGCACTAATTAATAAAATGTGAAAGTATAAATCTCACTGGTAAAGGTAAATATATAGTAAAGGTGTAATGAATGAATCATCTATAGAGCTATTACTAAGGCTAAAAGACAAAAAAAAAACAACAACAAAACCCGAAGTACTAACAAGTGATACACAAGTGATACACAAGATAAAAAGATGTAAAATGTAACATCAAAAACAAAACGGAGGAGGGAGGAGGGGTAAATGTAGAACTTTAGAATGTAAGCTGTTATCTGGGGCGCCTGGGTGGCTCAGTCGTTAAGCGCCTGCCTTCGGCTCAGGTCATGATCCCAGCATTCTGGGATCGAGCCCCGCATCGGGCTCCCCGCTCGGCTCCCCCTGCCTGTGCTCCTCTCTCACTGTGTCTCTCTCTGTCAAATAAATAAAATCTTTAAAAAAAAAAAAAAAAAAAGAATGTAAGCTGTTATCATAAATAGACTTACAAATATAAGTTGTTATATGTAAGCCTCATGGTAACCACAAAGTAAAAATCTATGGTAGATACACAAAAGATAAAAGAATCTAAGCGTACCACCAAAAGTCATTAAACTATAAAGGAAGAGAACAAAGGAACAGAGAGGAACTATAAAACAGCCAGAAAACAATTAACATAATGGCAATAAGTACATAACTATCAATAATTACTTTAAATGTAAATGGGCCAAATTCTCCAATCAAAAGATAGAGTTGGGGCGCCTGGGTGGCTCAGTTGGTTAAGCCCCAGGTCATGATCCCAGGGTCCTGGGATGGTGCCCTGCGTCAGGCTCTCTGCTCAGCCAGGAGCCTGCTTCTCCCTCTCCTCCCCACTTGTGCTCTTTCACTATCTCTCCTGCTCTCTCTCAAATAAATAATCTTTTTTTTTTTTTTTTTAAAGATTTTATTTGACAGAGAGAGACACAGCGAGAGAGGGAACACAAGCAGAGGGAGGGGGAGAGGGAGAAGCAGGCTTCCCACCGAGCAGAGAGCCTGATGCGGGGCTCGATCCCAGGACTCTGGGATCATGACCCGAGCCGAAGGCAGATGCTTAACGACTGAGCCACCCAGGCGCCCGTCAAATAAACAAAATCTTAAAAAAAGAACCCCAAAAAACAAAATACATAGAGTGCCTGAATGAATTTAAAAAAAAAAGACCGATTTATATGCTGCCTATAAGAGACTCACTTTAGGTGCAAGGACACACACAGACTGAAAGTGAAGGGATGGAAAGAGATAGCCCATGCAAATAAAAATCAAAAGAAAGCTGGAGGTAGCCATACTTTTATCAGACAAAATACACTTTAAAACACTATAACAAAGAACATTACATAATGATACAAGGGGTCAATCCAACAAGAGCATAAACATTGGTAAATATTTATGCACCGAACATAGGAGCATCTAAATATATAAAGCATATATTAACAGACCTAAAGTAATAGCAATAACAGTAATAGTAGAGGGCTTTAATACCCACTTATATCAACAGGTAGATCATCCAGACAAAATCAGTAAGGAAACATCAGCTGTACACAACATATTGGAACAGATGGACTTAACAGATATATACAGAACATTCTATCCAAAAGCAGAATACACATTCTTCTCAAGTGCACATGGAACGTTCTCCAGAACAGATCATATGTTAGAACACATAAGAAATTGTAGTAAGTTTAAGATAAAAATCATTATCAAGCATTTTTTCCAAGCACAATAATATGAAAGTAGAAATAATTACAAGAAGAAATGTGGAAAATTCACAAATATGTGGATATTTAACATGTTACTGAACCACCAATGAATGGGTCAAATAAGAAATCAAAAGAGAAATTTAAAAAATGTCTTGAGACAAATGAAAATAGAAATGCAAAAACCAAAATTTATGGGATGCAGCAAAAGCAGTTCTAAGGCAATAGTTCATAGCAATAAAATCCTACCTCAAGGAATGAAAAAAGTCAAACAACCTAACTTCACACCTTAAGAAACTATGGAAAGATGACAAAGCCCCAAATCAGTAGAGGGAAGTAAATAAAGATCAGAGAGGACATGAATGAATGAAAGAGACTAAAAAGACAATAGAAAAGATCAATGAAACTAAGAGCTGGTTCTATGTAAAGATAAGCAAAATTGACAAATCTTTATTTAGACTCACCAAGAAAAGAGAGGGCTCAAATAAATAAAATCAGAAATAAAAGAAGAGATGTTACAACTGATACCACAGAAATACAATAGATCATAAGAGACTCCTAAGAAAAATTATATGCCAACAAACTGGACAACCTAAAAGAAACAGGTAAGTTTCTAAAAACAAAGACCAACCAAAACAATAATGAAGAAATAGAAAATCTGAACATACTGATTACTAGTAAGGAGATTGAATCAATAATCAACCTCCCAACAAAGTCCAGGACCAAATGGCTTCATTTGTGAATTCTACCAGATATTTAAAGAATTAATACCAATCATTCTCAAACTCTTCCAAAAAAGAGGAGGGAACATTTCCAAACTCATTTTGCAAGGCAAGCATTATCCTGATACTAAAACTAGACAAAGACACTACAA